TCCCTGGTGGCCCAGAGCATCACGGTGCCCATCGATGTGGTCTCCCAGCACCTCATGATGCAGAGGAAAGGGGAAAGCATGGGCAGGTTCAAGGTGCAGAGCCAAGATGGCAAACGTCTGCTGGTCTTTGGCCAAACCAAGGACATCATTGTGCAGATTTTCAAGGCTGACGGTTTGAGAGGATTCTACCGGGGTTATGTGGCCTCGCTGCTCACTTATATTCCCAACAGTGCGGTCTGGTGGCCCTTCTACCACTTCTATGCTGGTAAGTGAAAGGAGGATTGAAATGTGTCCTGTTCCAGGAGAGCCAGGAGCCCCTCGGATGGACTCTTGACACTGTGGATTCAGAGTGGTTTGCTTTCTCTCTGGGGGTGGGAGCAGAATCTCTCCTGAGCTGAGGAGCTGCATCTGGGTGTGTGGGAATTCTGTATATGTTGGTGGAAGTTTAACAGAGCAGCAGTGTTTCAATGCAGAACAAAGGGTCCAAGTGCTCCAGGACTTCAAACTGGATGGCTCCAGGCAAGTGGGGTTTTATGCATCTGCTGTAACTTTCTCTTCCACTAATCCCAAATAGTGCCTTCTCCACAGGAGTGAGGAAGGCAGAGTTTTGGAGCCACCAGGTAAGTGTAGTTCATCTTTCAGTTCATGTGAACTCAGGAATCTCATAGATGGCAAAGGGACTCTTAGAGACACAAATCCCATGGCAAAATCAAACAACAGGCAGAGACAAGGGCCAAATCTTTGATTTCTGTCATGTGTTGCTTCAGTTTTGTCAACTTTAAAATTGGCACTGAGTCTTGTGATGGAAAACTGCACTCAGTAGAAAGTTCTTTCTTCCTAGCTCAGTTCTGGTACTCCTTTGTGTGTTTCCAAAGGTTAAAGGTATTGACCAGCTAAGGTTTATTTCCACTCCTGATGATCCTTTAGATTTCTGCCATGCAGCTTTGCACATGGTTTTTAGAAGTCTGGTTACATAATTTCTGCCAAAAGGTGGTGGCAATGAGCAGTTTGGGTTTTGCTGTACTGGGCCTAAAGTACAGCTTGGAGGTCACCTCTTCTACAAAATCCAGATGTCTCAAAGGGTCCTGTGTGCTTTCCTCTGGTAGCTAGAGGAAGCACTGGTTCTGCATCCAGGCTGCATTTAAATGCCAGTGGCAGCTTGGCATGTTGGTCTGTGCAGGCAAGTGGGGTTTTATGCATCTGCTGTAACTTTCTCTTCCACTAATCCCAAATAGTGCCTTCTCCACAGGAGTGAGGAAGGCAGAGTTTTGGAGCCACCAGGTAAGTGTAGTTCATCTTTCAGTTCATGTGAACTCAGGAATGGCAAAAGGACTCTTAGAGACACAAATCCCATGGCAAAATCAAACAACAGGCAGAGACAAGGGCCAAACCCTGGATTTCTGTCAGGTGTTGCTTCAGTTTTGGCAACTTTAAAGTTGGCACTGAGTCTTGTGATGGAAAACTGCACTCAGTAGAAAGTTCTTTCTCCCTAGCTCAGTTCTTGCACTCCTTGGGATGTTTCCAAAGGTTAAAGGTATTGACCAGCTAAGGTTTATTTCCACTCCTGATGATCCTTTAGATTTCTGCCATGCAGCTTTGCACATGGTTTTTAGAAGTCTGGTTACATAATTTCTGCCAAAAGGTGGTGGCAATGAGCAGTTTGGGTTTTGCTGTACTGGGCCTAAAGTACATCTTGGAGGTCACCTCTTCTACAAAATCCAGATGTCTCAAAGGGTCCTGTGTGCTTTCCTCTGGTAGCTAGAGGAAGCATTGGTTCTGCATCCAGGCTGCATTTAAATGCCAGTGGCAGCTTGGCATGTTGGTCTGTGCTTTGTGGGAGTGCTCCCATCAGTCTCCACGTCAGCAGTTTATAAGAGCAAAACCCATTGTACTAACTGTAAGATTTTCATGCCAAAAGGGCTCAAAGGAGGGCATGTGAGAAAAGGCAGTTGATATGGAGAGACCAGAGCTCTCAGCTTCCAGGTGTTTGCTCTGTCATTGTCTCCTCAGTGGAAATTGAGATGCTGGGAAACATGAGCCCCAGCTGTCAATGAATCTGCTCTGGCTGCATTTCCCAGTGCTCTGTCCCTGGAGCAGCAGCCAGGGTCACTGAACCCTCCTGGGGTTCAAAGGACACTGCTGGCCCTGATTCCAGTCAGTGTTCAAGGTCTCAAACAGAGCTGCTTCCGTCCCTCCTGCCAGCCAGGCTTCCTCATAGTCCAAAAAATGGGGCCTTTGAACACTCTTCTGTCCAACTTCAACCAATGAAAGTGTGGGAGATTCAGATCCTGTTGGCCAGGCAGCAGGAGCAGAGTGAGGAGATCTGGGATGAGCTTTTCGTGGTGCTTTTCTCCTGAGGGATCCACAGTGGGATACCAGGGTATCTCCTGGACAGTGTGCCAGTGGCGACAGCTTTCTGTACAAATCTCTGCAGACACCTTCCAACAGAGCCTTGTCCTAAGGCTTCCTCCACCTTCTAAAGAGGGGGGGTATTTTCCTGCCCTGTTTTGGGAACGTGGCAGCTGATTCTGTCCAGTTTGCCCCACAGGCCTGGGAGCGAGAGGGGAAGCTGTGGGACAAAGCATGGGGAGTGTCCTGGAGCCAGCTCTGTGATGAGTCCTGCTCCCTGTGCTGTGCCAGCTTTCTGGTTGGTGTAGGAAGCACCACTTGGAGATTCTGTGGGAGGAGCTGGCAGGCTGCAAATGAGGGATTCTGCCCACTGGAAATCAGCTGGAGTTACAGAGGGCAGCTAAGGAAATTATAAGCAGCCACTGAAAGTCTGAAACTTTCCTCTCTCTCCTGTTCCCAGAACAGCTTTCGAGTTTGACTCCTAAAGACTGTCCCCACCTCCTCCTGCAAGCAATATCGGGGCCCCTTGCAGCTGCCACAGCTTCCACCCTCACCAACCCCATGGATGTGGTGAGGGCTCGGGTCCAGGTAAGAGCTCAGCACGCTTGGCACAGGGCAGGGTGGGGTTCAGCCTGGCCTCTCTCATCTCTGTGGTTTCAGGTGAGCTGCTTCCCTGCTCTCCCTGGGCCTTTCATCCTGGGAGCAGCTGCTTAATTGGCCCTCAGCATTAGCAAGAGGAGCCCAGGCTGCCTGTTCTGCTGGCAGTGCCAGCCTGGCCTGCTCAGACAGGCTTTCCCTTCACAAAGGGAGAGGTGCTGCTCCCTGCTGCCTCCTTAGGACTTTGTGCTTTTTCTGCTCCCCTCCTCAGGGAGTTCTGGAGAGCAGAGCAAGGCTGATCTGTTGTCTCCAGAGCATTCAGCTGCAGCAGAGCCCCAGAGCAGCTCAGCATGGAGCCTGGCAGCTCTGTCAATGTTTGTTCTGGCATTGCAGGTGGAAGGCAAGAGCTCCATCATTCTCACCTTCAAGCAGCTCATTGCAGAGGAAGGCCCCTGGGGGCTGACTAAAGGCCTCTCTGCCCGCATCATCTCGGCCACTCCTTCCACCATTGTCATCGTGGTGGGCTATGAAACCCTGAAGAAGCTGAGCCTGCGCCCAGAGCTGGTGGACTCGAGGCACTGGTAGAGGCAGCTGGGGGAGGAGAACCTTCCTGTGAACTCTCTGAGTCTGGACTGGTGCAGGGGAGAGCCTGGGATGCCACGCAGCTGCTGTGCCTTTGTCTCTGGCTGGTTTCACAGCACAAGGCAGATGCAAAAGCAGCTGCACTCCACCTCTTTAGATCTGAGTGTCATGCAATGGTCTGCTGCTGGTTTCGCTTCAACTGTGACCTTTGGCAGTGCTCTTTGCCTGGAACACCCTGTTCCAGGTGTGTGAATGCATCCTGGCAAGTTATTAATTCTTTTTTTTTTTTTTTTTAATTAAAGACTTACTGGCTTAAGCAAAAAGCCAGTTTATTCTCTTTAAATTATTTTCATCTTTGCCAAACTTCCAAGGAGTCTCACAGCCTGCAGCAGGACCCTCTGCTGGGATGTCTCTAGTGGCAGTTGTGCTGTGAGAAACTGGAAGCAGAAAATAGACAAGTGACTTTCTCCAATTACCTGCTTTTATTTCTAGAAGATGTGAGACAAGAGTAACCTGGAACCACTTCAGACCTGATTTCCTGCGTTTTGAATAGATCTACATACTTGTTTTGTACATTCTTGGAAAATGTTCCCTGTCTCTCATCCTCCAAACAGCTGGCTGATAGCAAGTCAGGGGCTGAGCTGGCTGTTTGGAATTAGCTGATGGCGGTTTTGACACCTAACCTGTGTTTTTAATCTGTTGTAATTTAATTTTTTTATTTTAGGGAAGCTTATTCTGATTTCTGGGGAGCTGAATGGTTGTCCTGTGGCCTCGTTCAGTGTGTCAATCCTGCATGTTCAGAGTGGCTGTGGCCACTTCCCACCTTAGTTAGTTGAAGCCCAGAAATGCAGTTTGGAAGTGTTTGATCGTGGTGCTGCCAGCAGCTGGATGAGAACTGAATGGGCTTTGAGCTACAATTAGATGGGACGTGGGGAAGGAGAAACCTTGTGCTGGCTTTTGATCCAGTTCAAACCTGACAGGCATGTTTCTATTGAATGAGAAGTGATGGCTCACTTCACGAGTTTAAATTCTGCCCTTCCAGTTTGGGAAGGGCAAGGATAATGTTTTGCACAATTGCTGGATCAGAAGCCTGAGCTACGGTCTGTGTATTTTACCAGGTGAAAACTTCAGGGGAATGAAACCAGAGGCTGCTTTTTGGGGAGGGGAGGGAGGGGGTTGTTTTGACTGCACTCTGCTGCTCTTGGTGGTTGAGATTTGCCTTTCATGCTGCCAGTCCACACGTGGTGCTCGTCCTGGTTAGCCACATCTGGAGGGCTCAGGGTGCACCTGCACAAAACAGAGCACACCACCTCCATCCCCCTTCTGCCCTAACCAGGAATTTGGTTGAGGTGTTGATCCTGCTGACCTGTGGCTGTCGCTGGGCTCCACTTGGCTGTCTCTTCCTGAGGGGACTCACCAAGTGTGGCTCTGCCCTTCGTGCCAGTGTTGTCCCTGCCCAGCAGGCACTGGACATGCCACCACGCCTGCTGGAGATGGAGAGTGCTGAAGCTGCTGCTGCTGAGGTGGGAGAGGTTTCTCTGCTAAGGGCAGGGCTTGATTCTAAGGTGCAGTGCTGTGATGGGGCTGTGGGTGAGTTATCAGAGCCTCTTCATCCCAGTTTTGTTTCTTGCAGTGCTCAGAAAGGCACTGGATGCTGGAACCACTGGTGGAGTTGTTGGAGCAGCACCTTCTGCACCTGCTCCAGTCACCTGTTTGTTGTTTAAAAGTCGACACCAGTCTGCTCTTGCTCTAATAATAGATTCTGCTCTGAAAAGCAGAACAACAGCACCCCAAATCACAAGGCAGCAGGATGTTAACAGTAATTTAGCAGGAACAATAACAATCAACCTCTGCCAGGTGCAGCAGGGCCAGTCCCAGTGTGCAGAGCAGAGGGGCAGCAGCACCAGTGTGGGGAGACACTGTCAAACTTCATGTTCCTCTCGTAACCAGCAACTTGACAACTAATAAACTTGAGAGACCTTCAGTTTGGTGCCTGCATTTAAAAGCACACGACTCTCCACGCCAGGGGAGGCTGCTGCTTTTTGTCGTGTCACAAAGAGGGTTTCACCCTTAGCCTTTGGACTAGGACTAGGGCTAGGAGAGGGCCGTGAGCTGCCTGAGAACTCGGTGGCTGCTCAGTGGCCGAGCGAGCCGGGGAGAACCGGCTGGAGCACGTGGAACCAGCCGTGACCCAGGGTGCGGGCTGGCTCCTGCGTGGCTGCCACATGGGAAATGTCGCTTCTTTTATTCTCTAACCGGGCTGAACTTCGCTTCTTCTTTTCTCCTTGAATTCTTCGGCCTTGCTCGTTTTATTTCGCACAAAGTCGCTGGAGGGCAGGGCGGGCATTTCCACGGGGCAGAGAAGGGCGGTTTGGCACGGGGTGCTGCGCTTCGGGGCCGGGCGCGGCCCCGCTCCGGGAGGCGGCAGCTTCTTCGCGCGGTGGTTTTATCGCGGTTTGCTTCGGACCGGGAGCGGCCGGGTGGGGCGACCACGGCGAGCGGCACAAGCCGCGCTCCGTTCCCGTGCCGCCTTCCCGCGTTTTCTTCCCGTGCCGTGTTCCCGCGCTCCGTTCCCGTGCCGCCTTCCCGCGTTTTCTTCCCGCGCTCCCTTCCCGCTCTCCGTTCCCGCGAGCTCTTCCCGCGCTCCGTTCCCGTGCCGCTTTCCCGCGTTCCGTTCCCGCGCTCCGTTCCCGTGCCGCCTTCCCGCGTTCTCTTCCCGCGGCTGAGGGCGGCGGCGCCGATGGCGGGGACGGCCCGACCCCGGGGCGCTCCGAGCTGTTCAGCACCGTGGTGGACACGTTCCTGGAGAAGCTGGTGGCCGCCGGGAGGTGAGGCGGGGGCGGGGAGGGACCCCCTGATCCCCGGGCCCGGCCCTGCCGTGACACCGAGCCCCGGGAGCAGCCCCGGGCCCGGCTCTGGGCCTGGCCCCGACCCGGCCCCGCCGTGCCCCGGTCCTGATCCCGCCCTCCTTGCAGCTACCAGAGGTTCGTCAGCTGCTACCGCTGCTTCTACAAGCTGCAGCCGCAGCTGACCAGGAGCATCTACGATCAGTTCATCTCCCAGCTGCAGGCGTCCATCAAGGTGAGCAGGGTTGGGGGCCCCGGGGGGCTGCAGAGGGGTTTGGAGTGTCCAAAAAAGGGGTTCAAAGCCCGCTGGAAAAGTGCTGAACAGGTTGATATTAAGGGCAGCAAATACATTTCCTAAATGCTGCAGAGGAGTGTCCAAAAAAGGGGTTCAAAGCCCACTGGAAAAGTGCTGAACAGGTTGATATTAAGGGCAGCAAATGCATTTCCTAAATGCTGCAGAGGAGTGTCCAAAAAAGGGGTTCAAAGCCCGCTGGAAAAGTGCTGAACAGGTTGATATTAAGGGCAGCAAATACATTTCCTAAATGCTGCAGAGGAGTGTCCAAAAAAGGGGTTCAAAGCCCACTGGAAAAGTGCTGAACAGGTTGATATTAAGGGCAGCAAATACATTTCCTAAATGCTGCAGAGGAGTGTCCAAAAAAGGGGTTCAAAGCCCACTGGAAAAGTGCTGAACAGGTTGATATTAAGGGCAGCAAATGCATTTCCTAAATGCAAAGCAGAAATCTGTTCTCTCCAGAGTTCTGTCTTCCCCAGAAGAAGCTGTAGGATTGCTCAGGTTGGAAAACACCACCAGGGCTGTGCAGTCCAAGCATTTCCCCAGCATGGCCAAGGCCACCACTAAACCATGTCCCTAAGTGCCACATGCACCCATCTGTTAAATACCCCCAGGAATGGTGATTCCCAGGGTGTTCATCATCCAGGATTCATCCAGGATTCCAGGATTCATCCAGGACAAAGCTGGAAGGACTTTGGATAAGGGATGGAGTGACAAGAACAAGGGGAAATGGCTTCCCCCTGCCAGAGGGCAGGGTTAGATGGGAAATTGGGAAGGAATTGTTCCCTGTCAGGGTGCTGAGGCCATGGCATGGGTGCCCAGAGAAGCTGCGGCTGCCCCTGGATCCCTGAAGGAATTTAAGGCCAGGTTGGATGGGGTTTGGGATAGTGGAGGGTGGAACAAGATGTGCTTTAAGGTCCCTTTGAAGCCAGACAATTCCCTGATTCCCTGACCAGCCAAGGCTCACAACCAGAGTGGTGCCAGTGTTTGTTCACCTCGTGTCCTTCCTTCACAGGAGGAGATCCAGGAGGTGAAAAATGAAGGGAATCTGGAGGAACTCCTCAATTCACTGGATAAGATCGTGGAGGAGGCAAAGGACCGGGAAGAGCCAGCGTGGTATGGATGGCCAGGGCTGGGGGTCGTGCTCCTGCAGAGGCAGCAGGCAGTTCCTGGGCTGTCTTTGCCTGTCCTGCTGGCCTCATGCTGCAAGGGAGGGTCTGAAAGCTGCTGTATCTTTACAGCAGTGTCACTGGGGCTAAAACACACAGAAATCAGTTTAATCTGTGCTTCTCTGGGCCCAGGAGCCATTTCCATTCCCTTCCTTAGTGCAGGGACGTCAGTGCCACTGAGCTGGGGACAACCCAGAGGGCTGATGGGCAGTTTTGGGCACAGCACCTGTCCAGCAGCAGAGTCCCCTGGGTGCTCTTTGTGTCCCTGGCCCCAGCAGACACTGGGGACTGGGACCAGAAACAAGATTTTGTGTTCCTGTGCTGAGGGGGTGATGACACCTGCCTGTTCCAAGCACCCACCCAGGGCCAACTCCCAGGGGCTCCTCTGGGGTCCCTGCTGTGGCTGTGCTCAGTTCCCTGTGCCAGAGGAGGCTGTGGGAGCCACAGGGCTGCCTTGGGGAGGAGCTGCCAGGGGCTCCTCTGGGGTCCCTGCTGTGGCTGTGCTCAGTTCCCTGTGCCAGAGGAGGCTGTGGGAGCCAAGGGCTGATCCCAGCTGGCAGCTGTGTGGGACCAGTGCTGGGCAGTCTGCACAAATCACAAATGGGACAGCACTCTTGGGGAACACCTCTCGAGCTGTTTTATTTTCCATCATCACTCTCATTCCATGGTTGTGACAGTGGGAAGATGCCAGCAGCTCCCATCCCCAGCAGCAGACAAAGAACTCAGTGTTACAACTCACTTTAAAACATTTTTGACCAATCACACAAAGCAAAAGCATATTGACAGTAGTTCTGTCCAACCACTATAAGCACACCTACCTTTGCTTATTTTGAATACAATACCTGCTTGTAAGCCTTAAGATACAATACAACAGCTTAAATTTAGACCTTCCTAACATCTCTCTAGATTTACTTTTCTGCAGCTTAGGGAGTTATTCTAGCCAAGCATTAATATCCAGACCTGTGGTCAATACCCCATGTGTGGAGACATGAATCTTGACTCCATGTTTCAGAAGGCTGGTTTATTATACTGTGATATATGTTATATTTAAATGATACATTAAAACTATACTAAAAAAATAGAAAAGGATTTATTAGAAGGTTAGAAAGAACAGGAATGGAATGACAACAAGGACTCCTGAGAGTCTGAGCCAGCTGACTGTGACTGGCCATGAATCAGAAACAACCACCATGCCCCAGTCCCAGCTGCACCTGTTGCATTCCCCAGCAGCACGCAGTTATTGTTTACATTTCTTTCCTGAGGCTCCTCAGGAGAAAAAACCCTAACAAAGGAATTTTCACAAAATACTGCTACGCAGACCACTGTCCTATTCATCCTTTCTGCTGCTCTGATCTCCTTCCTGCTGAGCAGGAAGCTGCGCTGCAGCTGCAGCGGTGTGTCTGAGGCTGCCTGCTGCAGCTTGGGGCAGCCCAGCAGCAGTGCAGGGCTGGGTGCTGCGTTGCAGGCGGCCCAGCGGGAGCCCGGAGCGGGACGTGCGCGCTGCGCTGGCGCCCTCGCTGCTGCAGCACCGTGCCCACCTGCGCCGGGCGCTGCGGGAGCGGCAGCAGCGCAGCGGCGCGCTGGCCGAGGCCGTGCTGGCGGGGAGGAGCAGGATTGCAGAGCTGCAGCAGCTGATCCAGGCTCGCCAGCAGGCCTGGCAGGTAAAAACGCACCCGGCCCGCCCAGACCAGACCAGACCCAACCAACCCAAACCAGACTAAACCAACCCAAACCAAACCAGACTAAATCAGACCCAACCAACCCAAACCAGACTAAACCAGACCCAACCAACCCAAACCAGACTAAACCAACCCAAACCAGACTAAACTAACCCAAGCCAGACTAAACCAACCCAAACCAGACCAGACTGACCCAAACCAGACTAAACCAAACCAGACCAGACCCACCTAAACCAGACCAGACTAAACCAACCCAAACCAGACTAAACCAACCCAAACCAAACCAGACCAGACCAGACCCACCCAAACCAGACCAGACCAAACCAGACTAAATCAGACCCAACCAACCCAAACCAGACTAAACCAGACCCGACTAAACCAGAACAGACCAACCCAAACCAGACCAGACTAAACCAATCCAAACCAAACTAAACCAACTCAAACCAGACTAAACTAACCCAAACCAGACAAGACCAACCCAAACCAGACCAGACTAAACCAAACCAGACTAAACCAACCCAACCCAAACCAAACCAGACCAGACCCACCTAAACCAGAGTAAACCAAACCAACCCAAACCAGATCAACCCAAACCAGACTAAACCAACCCAAACCAGACTAAACCAACCCAAACCAGACCAGATTGACCCAAACCAGACTAAACCAAACCAGACCAGACCAACCCAAACCAGACCAGACTAAACCAACCCAAACCAGACTAAACCAAACCAAACCAGATCAGACCAACCCAAACCAGACTAAACCAGACCCGCCTAAACCAGACCAAACCAAACCAGACCAGACCAACCCAAACAAGACTAAACCAGACCAGACTAAACTAAACCAAACCAGACCCAGCCAACCCAAACCAGACCAGACTAAACCAACCCAAACCAGACTAAATCAGACCAAACCAACCCAAACCAGACCAGACCCACCTAAACCAGACTAAACCAGACCAGACTAAACCAGACCAGACCCACCTAAACCAGACTAAACCAGCCCAAACCAGACCAGACCCAATCCAGACCAGACCCACCTAAACCAGACCAACCCAAACCAAACCAGACCAAATCAACCCAGACCAACCCAACTCAACCCAAACCAAATAAAACCAACCCAACCCAGACCAGACCAGACCAGCCCAGCCCAGCCCAACCTCCTCCTCTCAGCAGAGCTCAGTGGGGCCTGCAATGACTTCCAAACCCTCCCCTTCTCCAGCACCTCCCCAGCAGCCAAGTCCTGCTGAAACTTGAGGTGTGGGCATGGTCTCTGGGGGCTCAGGTGCCTTTCCCCCTGCAGTGGGTGGGATGTGGGGTGGTCTCGGGGACAGAGCATCCTGCTGAGCTCTGTGGCTTGTGTTCCTTCCAGGCAGCCAGTAAGGAGCAACGAGAACTCATCATGACATTCCAGGAGCCCCAGTGAGGCCACGGGATGTCCCACAGGCTCTGCTGGGACAGGTCATCATCCCAAAGCACTGATGGGACAAGGTACCCAGACTGAGAATCACCCCAGCAGGCCACTGGAGACTGCAGAGGGACTGAAACAGCTGCTGGACTGGCACAGTTTGATCAGATTTGGTGCAGAAACAAAAAAAAAAATTGGGATCTTTGCAAATGGATGGCAATTCCCTGTTTCCTACTCAGCTAGACAGAGGGGAGTGTCACAAAGTGTGGCTGTGCTCTCCTCTGCTCCACTCAGTGCTGTGACAGGCCTGATTCCAGTTTCCAAAGCCACGTTTGGGGGTTTGTTGCTGTTTTAGTTGTGCATTAGCCAAAATTCAGTGCCTTAAACGCCAGGCCAGGCTGTGCCCAGGCCTGAGGAGCCCACGAGTGGCTCACAGCCAGGGCTCCTGCTGTGCTTGCAGGTTCATTCAGTCTCTGTTCACACCACTGCCTGTTGCAGATGTGGCAGCAGCTGCTGCCCTGATTTCCTCCTTACCATTCATTCTGTTTGAGTTATTTTCTAGCCCTGGTCCCCTCCCAGCACCCGAGGTATCCAGGGATCTGTGCAGAGGTTGGAGCAGCCCTGCCTCCTCTTTGTGGGTTTGTAGCACAGGGTTTTCATCTTTTCCTGTGGAACCTTCTAGAGCCAGCCTGGTTTTTCCCCACCCAGAGTCGTTCCTGCCTCTTTCTCTTTGCGGGCTGGGGAAGCCAAAGCTCCCAGGATCTCCCTGGCAGAGCCCCAGCAGTGCTGTGCCCCTCCAGCATGGACAGGCTGTCCTTGGGGCTGGGCAGGGAGTGAGGAGAGTGCCCTGCACCTGCTGAGGACTCAGAGAGGCTGAGGGCACGGGCTCTGAGGGCCCAGCTGGGATGGGCAGTGGCTGCTGCACCACTCCCCAACCTCTGGGAGCAATTAGAGCTGCAGCAGTTTCCCCTCTGCCCCCCCTGGCTGTGCTGGAATCTCAATAAACCGGGGCTGTTGTTCAGCTTGGCTCCTGCTGTGCTCTTGGCCCACGTACTCTGTACTTTATGGCTTTGTCTGACAAAGGCTCTGCTTCAGCAGTTCTGGCTGCCCCAAAGCCTCCAGTTCCGCTTCCCGAGACAGGGCTGGGGTTTACAGGATCAGAAAGTGGTCAGGATGTGAAAGAGGAATGTTCTCCAGGGGCTCTGAGTGCCCTGGCCACGCAGCATCTGCCCAGGGCGTGGGCAGGGGGGAGCTGTGCAGAGACTGAGGCACCTGCTCACCCTGCCCAGGGACACGGGGTGACAGTGCCCGAAAGAAGCACGAGCTGCTCCCCAAAAATGGGCCAGAAAGCTCCTGCTGGCTCTGCACATGGAGGGAAACCCCAAGGTTTTGGCAGGGAGGTCTCCCTGTGTCACAGAAGATGATTCTGGGGTGCAGCAGTGGGAGCTGGGACGGGCAGTGGGTGATGGGGGAGCCCCCAGTGCCCCATCACCCATTCCAGTGGGGACTGGGCACTGCCAGCCTGGCAGGGCTGGGCCCACCAGCAAATCCCCCCTGGCCTGGGGCCACTTTTCCCTCCCTTTGTGGGCTCTGGCTGGGCACAGGGGGACCAAGTTCATCCCAAACCACAATTGCCACCTCTGCCAGCAGCTCCGGCCGTGGCGGATGTGCTGAAAATAACCCTGGGGAGGCCAGGCCCCCCCTGCCAAGGCCACAGGACCCTATAAAGGCACCCAGGGAGCCAGGGCTGCACCCAGCCCAGCACAGGGAGGCACCATGAAGTCCCTGGTCCTGCTGAGCCTCTTGGCCCTGCTCACCCTTGGCCTCTGCCGCAGAGGTACCGGGGAGTCCAGGGCTGGTGGGGACACTGGGGCTGGTTCTGTGCCCTGGAGGGAGCCAAGGGGCTGGGAAAACTGAGCTTTGGGGTGGGGGGCACGGGGAGATAGGGACTGGTAGATTGCGGGGGGTCTCAGTGAGGGATGTGAGCTCCAGAAGGAGTGGGGTGGGAGCAGAGCCCCGTTCTGAGCCCAGCCACCCCTCCGTGTCACCCGCAGCTGCCGATGGCTCTGCCAGCACCAAGGACTCGCCCAGCTCCGAAGGTGAGTGACCCTGGGGAGAGGGGACAGGACCCCCCTGACCCTGGCCCCACTGCCTTGGGGACAGAGGACAGGACCCCAGGGACAGGGGACAGGGGACACGGCCCCGGGAACAGGGGACAGAAACCCCTGACCCCCAGCCCCACTGCCCTGGGGACAGGACCCCGGGGACAGGACCACCCTGACTCTGGCCCCACTGCCCTGGGGATGGGGGACAGGACCCCAGGACAGGGGACAGGGGACACGGCCCCGAGGACAGGGGACAGAAACCCCTGACCCCCAGCCCCACTGCCATGGGGACGGGATCACCCTGACCCCGGCCCCACTGCCCTGGGGATGGGGGACAGGACCCCGGGACAGGGGACACGACCCCCTGACCCCTCGCTGTCCCTGCAGCCTTTGTCTCCAGACGCGCCAGTGCCGAGCTGGTGCAGAGGCAGAAGCGCAGTTACGGCTATGGCAGGTGAGGCTGCAGCCCCAGACTGGGGGGGGGTCGCTGGCTCAGCCCCTCCCCAGACCCCCCACACCCCCTGGTGTCCCCTTTGTCCCCTGCAGCGCCTCGGGAGCCCCGCGGGACCCGCTGGAGGCCAAGCGCGAGGTGTGCGAGCTCAACCCCGACTGTGACGAGCTGGCCGACCAGATCGGCCTGCAGGAGGCTTACCGGCGTTACTACGGGCTGGTTTAGCCCCAGCCCCGCTCGGGGCAGGGGCTGAGCTCCCACCAACCCCCAGCAGCTCCCACCTGCACCCTCCCACCCTTTCTGTTCGCCCTGGAAAGAAATAAACGCACGTGGTAGAGCCAGTTCCTTGCCAAGGCTGGGGTGTGGGTGGCTTCGGGGGATGTGCTCCATGTCACCCCACACGGCTGAGGACTCCTGGTTTCCCTCCCTGTGCCCCCCAGGCTCAGGGAGGAGAGGTGGTCCCACCCCCAGATCCTGCTCCCAGCAGCTGCCCCATCGTTATTCCACTTTAATTGAAAGCTGTTTGATTTAAAGCCTGGCTGTGTCCTGCCAGGCTGAGGCCATCACCAAGGGCTGCAAAGGGACAGGGGACAGAGTGGTGGCAGCAGGGGGACACGGAGGGCTCATGGGTGCAGCACAGGGCACCGGGGCAGGGGGATGTGAAGGGGAAGCTGGGGGGCCCTGCAGGAGGAGGTGGAGGCAGCAGCCGAGCTCAGCTTCACTCCAGGCACAGCCACAGCAGCAGCAGAGGAGGAGGGGGAGAAGCAGGGAGAGCCCTCGGGGTGGTGGGGGCAGCTGACCCTCGCCATGGGCCACTCTAGATGGGTAAAAGATGAGGATTTGTTGTAGAGGAAGGGGCACACCAAAATCTGCAGCACCTTGCTCTGCTGGGGATGCTCGAGCTTGGGGGAGTTGTGAAGGGGGCACAGAGCCCTGTCAGCTTCCACAGCAAGGACCCCACAAAACCCTTGGCTTTCAGCCTGAGCAGGGGGAATCACCAAGAAGAACAAAAGGCTGAGGAGGAGGAAACCTCCATCCCACATTTCCTTATCCCAAACATTCTGGGAATAGCAAGAGGTCGGTGCAGATGAAGGAGCTCAAAACAGGCACAGGGACAAAACAGCAGTGCCAGACGTGGCTGCCCCAGGAGCCTGGCATTGCAAACGTGCAGCCTGGGACAGACACACGGTGTCAGGGGGCCTGCACTCCCCGTGCCAGCCCATCCCCGTGCCCGCCCATGCCCAGCGAGCCCCTCCCAGGCTGTGGCACTGAGGGCTCTGCAGGCACAGAGGCAGCAGATGGGGTGGGCAGGCACAGGAGCTGAAGAGGTGGGCACAGCTGGGGGCAGAGAGAGGGGCAGACAAGCAGCAGGCAGATGAGCAGTGGTGGGCCCAGCAGGTGCCCAGGGAGGATGAGAGCACCAGGCAGTGCCACATGAATCCCTGCTGGCACAGCGTGTTTTGAGGTGACCTCTGTCCCTGGCCCTATCCCCATCCTTGTCTCCATCCCCTCCTCATCCCTGTCCCTGTCCCTGACCCCATCTCTGTCCCTAATCCCATCCCTGTCCCCATTGCCTTTCTTTGTCCCCATCTCTGTCCTAATCCCATCCCTGTCCCCATTGCCAGCCTTTCTTTGTCCCCATCTCTGTCCTAATCCCATCCCTGTCCCCATTGCCTGCCTTTCTTTGTCCCCATCTCTGTCCCTAATCCCATCCCTGTCCCCATTGCCAGCCTTTCTTTGTCCCCATCTCTGTCCTAATCCCACCCCTGTCCCCATTGCCTGCCTTTCTTTGTCCCCATCTCCATTCTCTTCTGCACAGAGCTGGCAGTGACAGTCCCTTCCTGCCAGCTCAGCCTTGGGACAGGGCAGGTCTCACCCCCAGCCCCTTTCCCTACTGGGGACTGAGCTGGAATCACCTTTTAGCACCCCCCTCTCTGACCCTCCTGCCAGGGGCAGCCCCCAAAGAACCCAGGAGGGAGAGAGAATTATGGCAGTGCCCAGCTCGGTGCCCCCCACCAGGGGAAGGAGATCAGGGAGCTCTGACAGCCATGAATTCAGGACAGGAATTCTCATTTATTTTCTCTCCCTTGGCACCCTCACACAGCCCAATCTCCAGCCTGAAGCCCCCAGCCCACCTTCTTCAGCACCTTGAATGGACACTGGAAAGTCACACATTTTAAATAATTTATACTTTCCCTGTCTCCCACTTCTCCACCCCCCTTCTCCCACTAAAAGTGAGCTGGGCCAGCTCCTCGTGCAGGGTCAGGGGTGCTCCTGTGGCAGCAGAGTCCTTCCAAGAGGATGAAATCATCCCAAATCACAGAGGCAGCAAGGGAAATGTTATTCCCATCACAGGGCTAAGGAAGGACCCATCTGCACTCCTCCACTGGAAAGTCTGGTCAGCAAAGGATACGAGGGTGGATTTACAGATGGAAAATGCACTCAGGCCCTGGGCTGTGCAGGAAAGGTGGGATGGGCTGGGAATGACCACAGGACACGAAGTACAAACATCTGGTATTTTATTAAGCCAGTTGCTGTGCTCAGACCATGGTCAGACATGTGCTGGGAGCCCCAGCCCCTCCTCTCCCAGCTGGGCCCCGTGTCCCCCGGATCCTCCCTGGCTCTGCAAGCCCGTGTGCCACACGAGGGCTGAGGAGAGGTGATTGTCCCTCGCCTCTAATTCACTGGGAGTGGCAAGGCAGCACCACGGCCCCTGTGCCAGCCTGGCCAGTGCTGCTGCTCACCAGGAAGGAAAAGAGCCCAAAATTGAAGATGCGAGACAAAATCCGAGGCGTTGCGGGTGGCCTCAAGCCAAGCAAGGATGGGAGCAGAGGAGCTGCTTGGAACAGCCCATGAAACCATGGAGCAGAAGCCCAACAAGCACCAGTGACTGTGTCCACCATGGTTTGGGGACAGCCCAGCCAGCCTCAGCCACCACAGACCTGTGTCCTCCCAGCATGGGCTCACCCCAAAAACCCCGAGCCGCTCAACAGGGTGGTAACGAGGAGAAAAACCAAACCCAAGAAACAAACCAGAACACATGAAAAGTCTTGTTTTCAGCCCACAAGATGGTTTTTCTGTTTGCTCTCCTTCCCAGCACAGCAGGCACTACTGGACTGGCTCACAGCTGCTCAGGGCAAGCCTGGAGTGGGTGCAGGAGCCAGAGCCAGAGCCTGCAGCCTCCATCCTGCCTGATGCTCTCCTGAGGAGGCAGCTCACAGTTCTGGCTTGGACCAGGATGCTTGGACAGGGTGGGGGGCTCTCAGGGAGCCCCCAGTGCAGCACCACAGCAGCCACAGGCTGCACAGAGCCTTCCACAGACCATCCCCTTTGCTGCCACCCCCAGAGCCACTTTGAGCAGCAACCACCATGCCAGGGGAGAAACACAGTGGGCCCTGGACAGAGCAGATCTGTTCAAGAGGAAACTCCAGCTCATCCTGAGTGTTGGCAGGGGGGCAGAGAAGTGTCCTCCTTTACCCCAGTGCAGGGGATGATATGTTGTGCCCCCTCAGAAGGCCAGGCTTGCTGGAGGACACTACATGCCATCTCCCCAAGCTGCTCTGCAGCCACACTGCTCCCACACTCTGGGGCCTCCCAGGTTTTCAGCTCCAGGTATCTCTGACTGGGGATGCAAATCCAAAAATCATTCAGCAGGTCCTCGAGCACAGTGCTCTGGACAGGAAGAGGGGAGCACAGGGACCTTTCAGGGGTCCTTTTTAAAGGTCACAATCCCTCCCCATGCAGCCCAGAGTGGAGGGTGCCATGGGGGCAGTCAGGAATCCCCACTGCATGGTGAGGGATGCTTTCTCCCCTCCAGGTATGTAAAACCTTGGAATATTAAACCAGCCCCTCAGGGGACCAGAGCAGTGACTAAGGGAGAGCTGTGAGCAGCCCCTGCTGTCACCATGTGAGCCCCCACATGGGCTCACAGCAGCTCCACTGCCTCTGCTTACAGAAAATGAGTTTATTTACTTTTGTTCTTAAACTGGATGTGCCCACCAAGGCCTCAGTGACTCAGAACACAGCTCCCCCTCAGCCTGCCCAGCTGTGCAGCACTTGGCTCCCTGCTGCCACCCTGCACAGCTGTGGGAGCTGCAAGAACTGAAAACACTCAGCCAGACAGGAATTCCCTCTGGGCTGCTGCTTTACCTGTACTGCTCTTCTCTCCCCTCAAGATCCAGCCAGGACCCAAGGAATGCTCTGGGGTGAAGCTGAAGGCTGCCCCCAGCTCCTCTCTGCTCTGACCACAGCCCAGCAATGCTTCTCTTCACCAACCCCAAGTCAGGGACAAGGGTGACACTGAGGCTCTCAGGACAAACATGAGCTCAGCCCCAGTGACCTCCAGACTCCTCTGCTGTGCTCAGCAGCCAGGGTCAGGGGGGGGTTTCTTCAGCAGCAGGAAAAAGCAGAGCACATCACTGTGCAACTCTCTGTGCCCCCCACCAGACAAGGAGGGCTTCACCTCAAGAACAGTCCCAAAGGAAATTCCCTTCTCTTTTTCCACCCCATCAAACAGAAATAATGAGCTACACCAACAAATGACTTCCAACAGAACCACTGGAGGGAAGAGTGACTGGGAGCTTCACAATCCATCTCAGATCTCCAAGAATCCCCAAGGTGTGCCAGAGTCTCTGACTTGCTGTCCTGCAGATGACCTTCTCTTGGCTTAGCCAAGCAAAGTCCTGTGAGTTTCAGGAGAAGCTGTAAAAGGGAAGATCCTGCAGGGAAACCCCTGTCCCTCACAGCCAGCCTGTCAGCCTCCAGGGATGGCATTTCCCTCTGCTGTGCTGTAAAGGAGCTGGAACTGGAATAGAAATGAATCCTCTGGTACTTGTGCTGGTATTTTTTAGTTTTTACCTGAAAACAAGGAACATCCTGCCAGTGCAGTACAGCACACCATGCTTGGAGCCTGCACAGAGTGCAGTATGTGACTCAGCTCCTCATGTTATCCTCTCTGGCTGCAGCAGTTTCTGGCTGGACCATGTGAGAACACAGACAGAAGACTCCAATGGTTTGTACTTGCATAGCTGCTGCTGGTTCATGTGGATGGAGACATCTGTTCAGTGGGCACGCAGAGGCAAGAGGGAGCATGAAGAGACTGCCCAGCCCCTGTCCTGCTGCCCTGTGAGCAACCTGCAGCTTCATAGCCGAGCGACAGCGTGTCAGACACAGGCTGCATGAGATGCTGCCACATGGAGGGCTGCAGGACTCCTCCCAGCTCTTCCAGCACCCTTCCAGGCAGCTTCAGCCCTCCTGTTTGGGATGCCAAAAGCACGGAGCAGTCTGTGAGCTCTGTGCTCCTGGGCAGCCTCTGCCAGCCCAGAGGGATGAGAGGAAGGGGGACACAAATGCTCCAGCTCTGTCACCATCTCTAGCACAGCATTGCAGCAGTGGTGCATTGAACAACCAGCAGAAGGTAATGGCTTTGAGATTCTCCTTCCTCCTCCACACCCTATGGAAAGATTTAGTGGGGAAAAAAAAAAAGGGAAAAAAGAAAAGATGAAAAAGAGGCTTTGGGTCCTTTGGAGACGTCTGCTCCATCCCAGTGTTGCAGTGCTCAAGCCAAGCATTTGAGCCTTAATGGTGTATAAATCCCACCCGGCTCTTCTCTCTCTTTCAGCAGTTCTGCCAGATTCCTCCTTTTCTCCGAGGTCTGATGCATAGTGGGAGAAACTGGGGATGGAGGCAGAGTCCTGTGGCCTCCCTGGAGCAGCGTGGTGGAGCTCGTGTTGCTCAGGAAGCGTGCAGCTCCCAGGGAGAGCAGAGTGCAACACGGGGCTGCTCCCTCCTCACAGGCCAACATCCCTTTGCACTGAGCCCGCTCCACGGGGGCCTGGGAAAGGAAATAAATATGCTTGTTCTAAGACAAAAAAAAAAAAAATTATATTAAGAGCTTTCCCCCACTTTTAAATAGAGTGTTTCCTTTTCTTTCTGACGTTGGAAGAGTATCCAAAACCCCAAAGGAACTCCTCTTTTTTCTTTTTTTTTTTTAATATTATCCATATATATAAAAACTAAAAATTAAAAGGAAAAAACCCTTGAAAAATAATTCATTCAAAAGGGGGGGTGGGGGAGAAATACTATCCACTTTCCTGTCCCCAGATTGCCAAACAAGAGCAAAACACTCTTTGGATCTTCTTTCCCAAGCCGGAGGGTTCCGTTTCTGCTGCACTGGTTTGGTTTTGCTGAAGTGAAGTCCATGCTTTGAACCACCAGCCTGCTTCTGCTGGCCAAGCAAGCTTTGGGAGGAAGGAGGGGGATGAAGGACTGACTGCCTGTCTCTCGCCCATCTCTGCCCACGGGGAGAAGGGCAGAGCTGTGCCCCGGCCGTTCCGAGGGGCCTCTCTCAGAGCAGTTGGCGCCATCAGAGCTGTACAGCCGTCTGTCTGGTCAGGATGCAGGTGGAGGGTGTCAGTGTGCGTGCCCACTTTGGGTTTTTTGTTTTTTTTAATTCGTTTGGGTAGGTATTTTTGTTGCTGCTGCTGCTTCTTCGTGTCTTAAGTGTCGCCCAGATTGTTGTTTCCTTCGTTCAGACGCTGCACGTTGCGAGAGGGGGAGAGAAAGGTTCACCAACCCGATGCCTTTCTGACCATCAGCCCATCTCTTTCCACTGCTTGTAGAATTCCAGAACATTCTTTATCTCTATGCTGGCGTTGGCGGCTGCCTGCATGGCAGACTGCAAGCAAACACAGAAAAACAGGTGGTTAATTTTTAACTTGCCCTGTCAAGAGAGCTGCCATTCCCAACCCGGGGACTCTGGCAGCCTGGCACAGCAGGAAGGCCAAATCCTCCAAGTTCTTGTGGCTCTGGTACCAGAGGCCTGAACAGGCATGGAATTAAATTCTCATGTGTGTCCCAGAATACTCTGTATCACAAAATCAAGAAGCCTTGAGGGAATAAGGAATCTCAACATACAAGGTAACTTTGGGAAAACCAAACTTTGGGAATTAGCCAAAGCAAAAAAAAAAAAAAACAGAAAAAACCAAAAACAACTTAAAAAAAATCTCTTGCCAATAAATCACATTCTATCCTTGCTAGGAAGCAGAATGGCTCAGCTCAGCCAGCCATGAGCTACTGACCTGCATGGGCACTGAGAAGGAGCTCGGGTCCTCCAGCTGGAAGCCCGTGATGATGGTGACCATTCCCGTGGTGTCATCCTCTCCACTGCCCTGGGACACTGTCAGCTGTTTGCAGCTGTCCAGAATTTTATACAGATTCCTGACAGAAAAGAGAAACAGAGGGGAAGGTCAGCAGGAAAACATCTGCTCAGGACAATAAATGGGAAGCAGGGCTGCTTTCCTGTTCCCATTAAGGACTTTGCTGAGATTTTTCTGAGCACAGAGTGCTTTGTGCAACATGCACAGGTGGCTGTCCTTATCTCCAAGGAATTTCATCATAACTCACATAGAACAAGCTCTGCAATGGGTCCCAGTGCTAACACCTCTCCCCAAAGCCACCTGCCTGCTGCAGAACTGGGCTCAGACACCTTCAGATGCTGAAATCTTACCAGGCATCTAAATCTTGTCTCTTCAATTTATGCCTCTCAAAGCTCTTCCCAACATCTTTCTGGCAACGAATGTACCTAAGGAGAAAGCAGAGTCTCTGAGCTCATATGGAGACTGTCACATAGGCTTGAGTCAGTGCTCCACAGCAGCTCCTCTGGGTGCTGCAGGACTTCCACCAGCCCAAAGGTCCAGGAATCCTCTGTGAATCCCTTTGATCCCCTCCCTGCCTCAGCACCACTCCCACATGGTGCTCACAGTGCCATGTCTCAAGCCCACCAGCCCTGTCACTGGCCCCAGAGATGCAGTTTGTCCTTTCAGCTGTGTTTCTGCAGAGCACCCAGGCCCAATTCAGCTCTTCCAGCACTCTCAGTGCAGTGGCAAAGGTCACTGCAGCAACAGAGATGCAACCCCACCAGTGCTCAGAAGCAGCTGCACTTCACAGCTGAGCAGCACATCTGAAGAACCAGCTGCTGCATCTGCTCCTTCACTGCCTTCCCATTCCTGAAGTCTGCATTTTACTTGGCCCACTCCTCATTCTGCTTCAGGGATCCACAGCCTGCTCCCACCCAAAGCCCACCCATTCCAAGAAGAAGGGTAAATCCCACCCCTGCCCTGCTCTCACCTGTTTCCCTTTTTAAATTCTGCCTCCAGATACCGAATGCTGTCCCTAGCACCGGCGTTCTCCTTTTTCAGGAAGTCTAGGCCATCGATAACTAAGAGAAACAAAAAAACAAAAAAAACCCAAAACCATCTTGCTTACAGCTCTACTTCTGCAAACTAATCCAGAGGTGTCAAGTAGTCCCCATTCCACAGAACACTGTCCAGTGCACAGCTACCACAGGATAGGGGAACAGCACCTCTCTCCTCTCTCCTCTTCTGACACACTCTGTCAAAATCCCAAGCAAGGGCCACACACAGAGGCCCCAAAAGCAACACATCAAAAGGATGTTGCAACTGCTCCTGATGAAGTGAAGGATAAGAGCAGGAGGAGGAAAAGCCACCACCCAGGCCCCTGGGGCCTGCTCCCAGCACAGAAGGGACAGGAACAGGCAGCCCCTGCCAGTTACCTGCTGTGGGGTCCCCATACCTGTTCGAGGGATGATGATTATGAACCTCCCACTCGTGGCCAGCTGCTTGACAAGAGCCAGGTGCTGGCACAGGGCCTGGGTGTCCGGAACCAGGTAAGGAGACATGGCTGACTGTGCCTTGGGCTGCTGGAGACTGCCCTCCAGCTGAGACACCTCCAGCTGAAAACACACAGGCAAACACACTCGCTTCACATTTATGCCGAAACAGATCATCAAACAGGGCAAGAATTGCTCTGCAAAACTCCATCAGGCCCTTCTAACCTCCAAGCATACAGAACAGAGGGCTGGATGCAGCCAGAGAAGAGGATCTCATGAGTGTGACCACTCCATCACAGCCCACACCTTCCTCAAGGGGGCCAGCAAGCAGGAGGTGCTGACTTCCTCTCTCCAGTGACTAGCAATGGGACATGAGGAAATGGTGCATTTCATTTTTAGCTTCATTGCTGCATCAGGGCAAGTTCAGGCTGAACGTTAGGAAAAGGTTCTTCCCCCAGAGGGGGAACAAGCTCCCCAGGAAAGCAGCTGTCACACCAAGCCTGCCAGAGCTCAAGGAGTGCCTGAACTACACTAGTGGGCATTCAGTTTGAAGTAGCCCTGTGAGGAGCAGGGACTTGGACTCCATTATCTTTATGGAATCCCTTCCAACCTCCACAGTTCAATCGATGCAGAATGGACTTAATGCCTCTGTGTAGGACAGAAGCAGAGAGTTCCCCCTTCCCTTCCCAGGTTCTGACATTCCAGCCACTACCCTGCTGGTTTTTCAGGCTGGAACTGGCATCTCCTACCTGCAGTCGAAGCTGAGCCATGTCTCTCATGAGCCTGTTCCGACGAGCTTCCTCTGCAGCCTGGTTGGAAAACCAAACTTCCACATCAGTTAGCAGGAAACACACCAGCTGACACTAGCACACACTTCCAGAGTGCAAAGGGGACACTGGAATAGCTTTAAGGAACAGAACTTTCATCTCCCCCACAAAGGTCTGTGATTATAGTTACAACCTAACAGTAACCTACAGGAAACAAGAGGATACAGAGAATTCATTCACCTCTACCAACTCACCATGTGAAACTGAGCCTGGGCCTGGTGCAACAAGCTGTCTTGCTCTGACTGTGCTATGCTGATGAAGATGCCAAGCTCTGAGTTGAACTGCAGGATGCTGCCTTGCAGGTGGGTGATGAAGTGGCCAAAGCTCCGAATGCAGCAGATCCTCACGACAGACTGCAAGGAAGGGGAGCAGTCAGCAGCCACCACAGCCACGGCGTGGCCTGAGCTGAGCAGCTCACACTCTTGAAAAAGGCAGGAACTGATATTAAACGGCGTGGCCTGAGCTGAGCCCACCTGCAGCTCACACTCTTGAAAAAGGCAGGAACTGATATTAAATGCCCAGTTCTGGTGGATGTTTGTGATCTCCTCTGAAGTCAGAGACTGCAGGAAAGGCTACAGCTGGCCAGAAGGTTCAGGGGTGGCAGCAGTCAACCCAAGAAAATCTTAGGAAACATCAGCAGCACCCTGCCACACCTGCTCCATAAACCTCTGCTCAGGCCTCCAGTGCCAGGAAACATAACACAACAATCCAGGTCTGGTTTTTTTCAGGATTTACACCAACTCACCTCTTCAATTGCTGAGAAAATGGGCCGGTCCTGCTCGAAGTTAAACCTCTTGTGTGCATTTTTCAGAGGGGGCAGATTGCGCAGGGCCACGTCCTCAGGGAGCAGCAGGTTGGCCTTCAGGTCTGGGAGCTCAGCATCACTCAGGATGTCCTTGACTTCATCACACAGGGCCAGCCCTGCACAGGAGGGACAAGAAGGGGAGCAAAACAACTCATGAGGGGGCTAAGAGAACTGCTTTAAGGCACATGATCATCTGCAATGGTCACGGGCAGAGGTGTTAATGAAACATGATCTGTGAGCAGCTGCTTAAGGAGCCACAAGACCACCTCAATATAGAGAGCAACTCTCCCAAACTATCTGCCATGGGACTCTGGGAAATCCCCTGTTTGGAGGGCAGCTTTCCCACCTATTCCAAATTATGAGCAGCCCTGTTTAAACTCTGCTTCTCATAAACCATTGGGAACTTCAGGCTCAGCACAGAGCACATCATGAGCAGCTGGAGCTCTGAAACTATTTTCCAGGATTACCATGGCAAAATCACAGCCTCACTCCTGCTACTGGCAGTGAATTTCACTCCTGTTGGCCACACATGGATTCCACATGCTGGTGCCAGTGTTTCAGTATGCTGCCAGCCACATTAATGCATTAATACAGCATTTTTGTGTGTGATTTCTGGGGCTGTCCTGTCAGGGCCAGGAGCTGAACCCAATCCTGGAGCGAGGTGAGGGGTCTCTTCCAACTCAGGATGTTCTATGATTCTCAAGACCATGGGGTAGTATTTAACTGGAATGGTATTTAAACAAAAAAAAAAAAACCCCAACACATGCATGTTTTACTTCCTATTGTGCTTATAAAAGCTGCTACTAGGAAATCTCCCTCCCTGGCCTCTCACACACCCCGGGGATCACTGATGACTAGGCTTGGTGAAACATGACATTGCCACTTCTTTCTCCAGTACCTGATTCCTGCAGGTCTGCAGCAGAAGGCAGAAGGTTCAGGAGCACAGACAGCCTGTTCCACAGGCTCTGAGAGCTCTGCAAGAACAGAACACAAAAACAGAATAGAAAATGTCGTGACAGATGTATACAACAACTAGGCAGCTTGGGCCTTCCAGCATCTCACAACCCTCAGAATACTTTATGAAGAGTACACCTCACCATCCTTCTTAGGCCCAGATTAGTTTAATTCAGCTGGTGGGGGACATAACATCACCCTCTGCCCAGGACTGGGGCCATGGCTGCAACCAGCCCAGGGAAGCTGACACAACTTTGTAGAGAGCCCTGCCACCATCCCCACCTGAGCACACATAATGATGAGGTCTGTGTTTGTCCTCAGCCAGTCCAGGAACACCTTGACAGTAAGCAGCAGCCCTTCATTGGTCACAATCTCCAACTTCTCCTGAAGGGATCGCTCGTTTCTGCAGGATTTGTTACTTGAAATGCTTTCTTCAGAGTCAGACACATCATCTGGAAAACAAAGGCAAGCTGTTAAAACTCCCTGAGATGCCAAGCCCTGCTTGGCAGAACACCACTGGGCTGGTAATAGTTGAGTTGAAATATTAGGTGCCTCCACACATCCTCACAAAAGCAGTCCCTGTCCCCTGGAGTGTATCACCCCTGCATTTCCTTCTCCTTGGAGGGTTAAAATGTCCCTGTGAAGGTGTGACCAATGCCCAACCTCTGCAGCAGCCTCCACGCTGACAGAGTGGGGCAGTGCCAGCACAAGGACCAGAGCAGTTCCTGCAGGGAACAGAGCCCTGAGGCCAACATGCCCCAGCTTCGAGCCAGGCAAGAGCAGGAAATGGCAGGGCTGTCCTGTGAGTCAGAGAATTTTAAATATTGAACATGTTCTTCACACTCTTCTAACTCTCCAGAGCTGAGGATCTCAAAGAAGTGGCAGGGCTGTCCTGTGAATAGAATTTTAAATACTGAACATGTTCTTCACGCTCTTCTAACTCTCCAGAGCTGAGCATCTCAAAGCCATTGCCAGTGGAATCACATGAGACACAAGTGACCTGAGGTCAAGGTGGGAATCAACCCCAGGTTTTGCCACAGACCTATCAGAACAGCTCTGGGCATTCCATAAACCCTCAGAATCACAAAAAAGGAGGTGATTTCTCCAGAACCCATCAATGACAGTGTTACACCATGAAAAAGCAGTTTGGATACAGCACACATGAGCAGAGCTCAAAGCTAACATGACACAGTGAACTCATTCCACCTCTCATTTTCTACACCTCTAAAGGTATTGTGGCCACACATCCCTGGAGCTGCAACAGCAAGATAACCACAGAAGGAAAGGGTTAAACACACCAGAGCCCATTTGCTTCTCCCTTTAACCCCCATCTCTTTCATGTGGCCATGGAGCAGTGCCAGGAGCCAGTCAACACTAACATGATCTAATACTGTGCCTTCAAATGCTGGCCCAGGCAAAGCCTGAACCTTGCCAGTGCTGTAGGCCAGCTGGATTTGGCAGCAGGATGCAGAATGTTTCCTTGCTCCAGGGAAGCTGGGAGGAATGAAAAACAAGACTCAACAGGCCCGTGTAGTTTTATGTGAAACACAAACAATTGCCTGTAGTTGATCAGATCTCCCTTTCCAGCTGTTTTTGCCCAGAACATCACTCAGTTGTGTAAGCTGAGTGGTAATGGAGACATGGCAGCTCCACCTGCTGCACATCTCCCAGGGGTTCAGCATGCAACAGTCAGTGAGGCACATCTGGGGGGCTCACAGAGGGGCCCCCAACACCTCTCACATGCACCTGGGTCACATCTTCCACACAAACTTCTACATGAGCATGGGGCTGATAATCTGTCTTCTCATGGACAACTTCCTGTCCCCCATCTGCCACCAGAAGCAATAACAAGTGTCTGATTAGAGATTTCACAAAGGGAAAAGGGAAGATGCAATTTTTAATACCTGCTGGAATCATCCTCTGGAGCCAAAACGGCTTCACTATAGCAAATCATGCCTGAAAAATTCATTGGTCTTCTACAATGGGGTTACAGCAGTGGAGGATGAGGGAAGAGCAACTGATCTCATCCACCTGGGTTTGTGCAGAGCCTTTGACACTGTCCTGCACAACATCCTTGTCTCTTAACTGGACAGACATGGATTTGATGGACAGACCACTCAGTGGATGAAGACTTGGCTGGACAGTCATGGTTAAAGAGCTGCAGCCAGCAGCTCAATGTGCAAGTGGAGAGCAGTGACAAGGGGCATCCTCAGGGGTTGGGACCAGCATGTTTTAACATCTTTGCTGGTGTCACAGGCAGTGAGATCAAGTGCACCCTCAGCCAGCTTGCTGCCAACACTGAGCTGTGTGTGGGGGTCACATGTTGGAGGGGAGGGATGGCACCAGAGGAACCTGGACAGGCTGAAAAGCTGGGTCTGTGCCAACCCCAGAAGGAACAGCAAGGAGAAATGTTGCACCTGTACTGGGGCAACCCCAAGCACAAACAGGCTGGGGGAGAATGGCTGGAGAGCAGCTCTGGGAAGGATTTGGGGGTGTGGGTTGACAAGAAGCTCAGCAAGCCATGGCAATGTGCACTGGGGGCCCAGAAAGCCAACACTGCCCTGGGCTCATCCCCAGCAGTGTGTGAGGGGGGATTCTGCCCCTCTGTCCTGCTGAGACCCTCCCCTGCAGAGCTGCTCCAGCTCTGGGGTCCCAGCACAAGGAGGACAAGGAGCTGCTGGAGGGAGCCCAGGGGAGGCCACAGAGATGATCCAGGGGCTGCAGCTGCTCTGGAGACAGGCTGAGAGAGCTGGGGGTGTTCAGATCAGAGAAATAAAGGCTCCAGGGAGACCTCAGAGCTCCTTCCACTGCCTAAAGGGGCTCGAAGAGAGATGGAGAGGGACTTTTACAAAGTCCTGGATGGGACAAGGGGGAATGGCTTTAAACTGAAGGAAGGTAAATTTAATGTGGTATTAGGAAGCAACTGTTCCCTGTGAGGGTAGTGAAGCTCTGGCACAGGTTGCCAAGAGAAGCTGTGGCTGCCCCATTCCTGAAGTGTTTAAGGCCAGGCTGAATGCAGTTTGGAGCAACCCAGTGCAAGAGGGATGAAATGACATGGGCTTTAGTGTCCCTTCCAAACAAACTAGCCTGTGAGACAGTGATTATCACAGCTGCTCAGCACTTAGTCTGCAGAACAGCAGTAGTTCTGGTAACCCTGGTTGGCCACAGGTGTTCCCTTTGCTCAGTGCACATATTCCTGCATGCTGGGCAGTAAAAGTAAAGCTCCTCTGTCAGGAAATGTCCAACCCACGGCCTGCCCACTACTTGGGCAACCTGCTCCTCCAGACCTAGCCAAAGGAGAGCTTGCACCATGGGAAATGTGAATTTAGCACATAGACTGCTACAGTTTGCAGTTTTCTACACGTAATTGCAACAACAAGGCCCTTACCTTGCTCTGCCAAGCTGGGCTTCTCCAGATCTCCATTGACACATGGCTTGCTCTCTATGCCATCCTTCAAGGCAGGTGGCTCACTGTTGGGTTTCAGGAGGATGTTGCTGAAGGTGGGAGCCAAGCGAAAGCAGCGTTTGGTCTGGAACAGCTGGGTGGACATGGCCTGGAGATTACTGGCTATGCTTGCATCATTAGTGCTCAGGGAAGCTGGCCCATTGACTGCTGGATCTACAGCTTCAGTTTTAGAGATGCCTGGGCCCTTGGAGTCCCCCAGCCCACTGCTATCCACACAGTTTTTTAAGGCCTCTTTGGGCCCACTTTTGCCTTGGCTGCTGCCGTCCTCACCGGGTTCATCCTCCATGTCCTCCAAGTCAGACCGAGATTCTTGGCTGTTCATGTCAGAGTCTGTCTCCACATCAAAAGCAGCTTCTGCTTCCTCATCACTCTTCTCTGAACCACTCTCTGAGCCATCACTGCCCTTGATGGAGCTCTGGCTGGAGTCAGAGTCAAAGCCCTCACTCAGGTCGCTCTCATCCACCTTCTGGGGGTGGCGGCGGCGGCGCAGACAGGACAGACGGGAGTACTTTTTGCTTTTCTTGCAGTCGTTCTTCCTCTGTTCCTCACTGGGCTGATGATTGGCCAACTCAGCTTCAGCTTCCTTCTCAATTGAGTTCACAGGCTCCCGTGGCTCCTGGTCATCTGCATTTACAGGGAGAATGTAAGTTAAAGTCACAGTGTGTTCCACAGGCAGCTGCTGGCCAGTCCAGGGAACCAGGGCTGCCAACGTCAGCCATCACTTCCATCAACGCCATCCACCACAGAATAAGCAACCCCTGAAGAAAGATTCACTTTCTAAAAGCACCTGGGAAGCTGGGATTCCTACTGCCCAAGCTGGGCCACTCTGCTATAGAACACAGCTGAATTCTAACTCACTTCCCCAGCTGTCTACAGTCAGAGCTGTGACCCACTGAGCAGGGCAGGGACATGTGCTCTGTAACTGCACTGACCTGACCCAATCCCTTTCCTGACCAACATGCATGGAGCCTTTCTAGCAGCCCTGGATCACTGTGACAGCTTCCAAACCTGCAGAGGAGGGGTCACTCATTGCTGCTTTTACCAGGAATTCCCTCACCCTGCATTCAGTGAGGTGTTGCCAATGGACTGTTTGCAGGGAAAAGGTTTAGCAGTTTTAGTCACTGCCCAATAAAATCCCCCACTAATTCAAGAGCCAGCCTTGCCTGAGCAGAACTGAGGTATGCTGAGAGGGCCTGTCACCTTCAGCCCCTCTCTGCCCCCTTCTGCCTCCCTCAGCCCAGGTGTCTCACCTGAGATCATCCCCTCCAGTGGAGGAGGAAAGCAGCCAGTAAACAACAGCAAACAGAGACAGAGAATAAAATCTCAGATTGGGATAAACAGATGATTAATGAGCTGCCAAGAGATACAGAAAGCAATTCCTTATAAAGAAAGCAACATGTCCATCCTGTGGTGATTCAGATAGGCAGAAAGAGCATCCAAGTGGAGACAACTCAGCACATCACCTTTGGGGATTCCAGATCAGAAGTAAAAGATCAATACACCCCAATACACACTACAAACCCATGTCCAGGGGAAAAAGGGGAGAAAGGGGAAAGACAGCCCTGTAGGCAGGCAACCTGGGAGACCCAGGTGCTGCCATCTCTATTCTCTTACCTGTGCCATCACTCTGAAAGGCTGGGACAGGATTTTCCCCTTCTTCTAGCTCAGCCTGGAGGCGAATATTGACGTGATTTATCAGGTGAGAGAAGAGAGCCAGCGTGAAGGCAATGGCTGCACTGTACTGCTTGGAACCTGCAAGCAGACAGCACAGGGAGATGGAGCAGGTGAGCACTACACCTCAGACAGCATCCCCAGCCTAACCGTGCTGCTGGATGCCCACCAGGAAATTCCAAACAAAGCTCTGGTTACCTGCCCTCTTGAGGCTGTGAACGCTCATAAGGCAGATGATCACCATGCGAAAGATCAGCAGATCAGGGAGGAAGGAGTAGCCACTCTCATATTCCTCTTCATCTTCACTAGTTGAGCTCAGGTTAGGAGGAGAGGGCAGGTAGAATAAGCACAGGTTGAAATCCTCCAGCACAGACTGGCAGAGGGATGTCAGCTCAGAATCCAAAGAGCTTAAAAAGAGTGAAAAATAAATTAGAATTATTAATTCAAGACTCATGTTCCTGGCATGTCTGCCCAGAAACTGAACCAAAACTGTCCTTTAGCACTAGGCAAGATGAAGCACCAGGGAAGTAAGTGACATTAATCAGATTATGTTTTCCTCTTTAAAGCCGCTTAACTAAAGACAAACAATACCTAGAGATGGGTCACCAAAAACCAGATTAATTTTCCCCTGGGAGCTCAGCAGTGACCATTAAGATACACAAGACACTTAAAATGCTAAAGGGAGCAAAAGTTCTAGATGCACTGCTCAGTGAAAAGTATTACACTGCCACACACATGGACTCAGTTTTTCCACCTCCTATGTCTCTCCTGCAGCCCAGAATATTCCAGAATCCTCCACAGCTATTCAGTCCTTCAAAGGAAGCATCCATGAGATCACTCCAATGGGCTATGGGAGCCTCCTAGTTACAAAACAGACCTGCTTGTGAAATTTCCAGCAAAGCCTTTTCAGGGGAAAGTGTGCTTGGGAAGTTGAAGTAATTCCCAAATTTCTTATGTTCTAAATACATGCTGAGTGGATATTAGAGGAGCCTTGTAGTTCCACCTCAGTATAAGGCAGTGTTGGAAAGTCAGTCCCTACTGGGCTGCATGAACAAGGGCAGAGCCAGCAGGCTGAGGATGTGCTCTCCCTCTCCAGCACTCACAAGGTGGCATCTGGAGCACTGAATCTGGTCTTTGGGTCCCCACAGGACAAAAAAACCACCAAACAAAACCACACTGACAAACTGGATTTAGTCCAGCAGAGGAACAGAGATGATGTATGAGAAGAGGCAAAGAGAATCGAGTTTGTTCAGCATGACAGACAGAAGGCATGGGGGGTGTCTTCTGTTTCCAGATGCCAAACAGGTGATTACACAGGACTGAATAAGACTCTCCTTAGTGGTGTAGAGCAAAAAAAAAGAGGAATTATGGGTACACACTACAGAAAAGAAAAATGAGATTAGATGCAAGGAGAAAAAAATTCTATGTTGAAGGTGGTCAAACACTGGAAAGGAGACCAGAAAGGTGTGGGATTTCTGTCCTTGGATCCAGTCAAAACTCTGTGATGAGACTCTGAGCAAGCTCATCCAACTTCACATCTGCATCTGCTTTCACAGTGAACACTACTTTGGGGAAGTACCAGACCCCCAAAAGGTCCCTTCCCACCTAAACCATTCCACAATGAATTTAACTGCAGCTTGTAGCTAAGCCCTTTAAAACACCTGTTCTGTTTCAAGCAGTAAGAGGTTTATTTAACATCCCCTGAAAACCTCCCAGCAGAGACAGAGAAAATCCAATTAAAAAATCTAAAAGCCCAAAATCACACAGCTATACAAAGCTTCCCATTTATTCCAACATAACCAGATTTTGGTGTTTTTTTTGACCAAGGTGCTTGGTTACAGACTTCCAAGTGCAGTGAACAGCCCCACACAAGTGTGGACAGCAACTCTTAGCTGTCCCATCAGCCTGAATCCAGGGCTTGGCAGGAAAAAGCATCTGATGACTGCATGGGGTAAGCAAACACCAAAGGCACAGCACAGAGACAGCTGCAAGGCCCAGAGCTCAGCACATACTCAGGCTGGCTTGATTTAGACAAGTCACCAAGGATTTAACCCTTTGGTATTTCAGCCTCCCCTGGAAATACAATCTTCATGCTCCATGCATGGATAGTCCAAAGTCTCAGGCCTTTTGGCAGAAAGCCTCAGCACAGGCACTGCTATCCTACAGGAACCCATCCTTTCCAATTCTGAGTGCCTGCTGCTGTCAGTTGTCAATAGAAGATAGAATCTAGCATAACCTTACCTGCTCTTTGGCTGCAAAAGACTCTGCAGGTACATGAAGCTCACCAGCAACCTCTTAATGTCTTTTCCTCTAAAAAGATGGAGGAGAAAACACTGTAAAGCAGACATGGGCTGGGCTGACAGAGCTCTATTACAGCTAAGTCAGGTGTTAACTGAAAAGTCCATTCTGAGGAAACTGGAGAGAAAGACAACAGTTTATACACTGCCAACTTTCACCAATATGCCCCAACCCTCATGAACAGTCCCCAGCTCCAGGGAAAAGTGAGAAAATCTCTCAATGCAAACTCTACACCTGGCCAGCATTTAGCTTTTCTCCTGAAATTATGACCCAAGACAGCAAGACTGTGATCTAGAGTGGAGCTCTCAAAATTTGGGAACAGTTACCATGCTGAAATGGCCATCTACCAGCTCCACCTCCCACAAAGACATTACTCTCAACCCAGAGGATACACTGCAAACTCTCAGCCTGTACCTCTCCTTTTCCTTCCCTTCTTACCGTTTCTTGCTTGGGGACAACTTCCTTGTCTCACATTTCTTCAGCTGATGATACATCTTGGCTGCTTTGTCATACAGCCTCTTCAGGTTCCCATAGGCACCTTCGAAGGACACTTCAGACTGGATGCTAAAGCACCAAAACAACACAGCCAAAGTTACTTCTCCACAAGGCTGCTCACACTTCAGGGCTTTAACTCACTAGCAAGTTATTCAGGTGAGCACAGGTACCCAGTGCTGCTGTCTGAACATGCTGGGCAACTAAACTCCCACCAGTGGCTGCCAACTGCACTGCAGTTGCCTCACAATTTCCACCTGCCCTGCTTACACATATTCTCAAATCAGTGCCTTCAAGCCAGGAATTCCACCCAGTTCACACCACAGGGTGCTTCCCTCAGCACCTCCAACCCACTTCCAGCCTGGCTCTCTTTGCTTGGGCAAAGCCCTCCAGGTGCAGCCCTGCACAGGTGATTAGTAACCAGCACAATGGGTTACTAATTGGGGTTTGGGTTGACCGAGGCTCACTCTCATTACTACCAGTCCTACTCAAGGGCAAAACAAACTCATCTCTTTCCCTTCCACTGAAATTCATTTGCCAAACCAGTGCCAAGTTCAAAGTAAGGAGGAGAGGATCTGGCAGCCACAGCAGCAGTGCATGGCCTCCCTGCTCAGGACACACAGATCTGTAGGAACTCACCAGCGTAAGTAGCAGTAGGTCGCTTCCACATTGTAGTACTTGCTCCCTGCCAATGTCCCCAGCTGGTTGAAGGGCATTCCTGTCAGGAAGGAGAGGGGCAATGGAATTTACTTGGAATTCTCCAATGGCCCTGGCTAGAAAGTAGATCCTTTCCCTTTCACTACATTTCCACACAAGAGGGAAGCCAGGAGACACAAAGAGTAGTAAAGCTGTAGTACAAAGGTCTGGACTACACAATCCTTCCACCATCCAGGGTCTGTTTTCCATTTCACAGAGCTTTTAGATCCTCCCCACCTTGTGCCAATCATCTGTGTAAGAGAGAAGAGCAAACAATGCCTTCTCCTTTGTATTAACAGTGGTGTGGCCTTGACTTCATATTTCCTGACACAGACATCACCTTATCAGCATCTGAGAACTCTATTGCAGCTCCTGTGGTGCAGAAACTTTTGCCACTTTTATTTGGGAACAGCCTTTCAAACAGTTCAGTGAGAACTCTGCAAAGACAGCATGTAGAAGACAACTGGCTGGAATCATACACTTTAAGGTATGACACACACTCTACTGATGTGTTCCCAGAAGGAGGCACTTTTAAAGGAGGAAGCAGCACATGAGATATTTTTTTTTAAGGGTAAAAGGGGAAGGTGACTGATAATGCTCTGCTCCTGGCATTGGAGAGCTGGAGCCGTGCTTAGCCCAGAGGTACAGCATCACCACAGTCAGAGAAGTCTGAGCTTCTCAGAGGTTCTCAGATGAGTATGGTGAGGTCACTGGCAAAGAACACCCTGGCTTTAACTCCTCAAAAGAAAAATCACATGAAAACCTCCCAGCAGAGACAGAGAAAATCCAATAAAATATCTAAAATCCCAGCAAAAGAAGTTCTCAAAGGAAGTAACTTTAACCAGAGGATAAAACCAATCCTCTCTCAGCTGCAGGATACAAACCTAACCAGTATAGCACTACATTGTTCTTACGTTGCAGCAACATGATTTTAACAATTATAAATTCATGGGAAGTCACTCACCAACTTGTGGTGCAACAGAAAGGGCTTGATAGTAAAATCGCTCAGCCAGCAGCTCCGTGTCCACACCTGCCAGCTCATTCTGGTAGCGAGCTGAAAGGAAACCACACAGCATGCATCACAAACCCAAAGGCAGCATCAGCTGCAGAGCAGCACAGCTTCCCTAGTAGCAACACCACAAAACTTGAAATACTGGCCAAGTGAACAAATCCACCAAAGAACTGCTCTTGGCAAACACTGCAACACGCGGGGTTTGCCAGGCCTGTCTGAACCACTTTTCTTTCACCTGCTCACACCACAACTCCTGTCCTTTCCAGCCAAGGGCAGAGCCTGCCACTCTTGCAGCATCACATGAACAAAAGGAAAATGTTCTTCTGCTCCATGTGTTAAGTGCTGAGTCACCTATCCTTGAAGTAACTCAGAGTTGTGTTTCATTTTCCTGTACCTCAGACTATATTCTAGAACAGCAGGGTGTGAAATCAAGTCAGCTGACTTAATAAAATACTTCACTGTGGCTAGACTGAACTTTACACATTTATTTTCTCCCTCTTTTTTTTTCTTTTTTTTTTTTTGACAAATGTAGGTATTTTGGAAACCTTAGGTGACAGCACTGTGAAAAGGTGAGCACATTTCTCTCCCACCACTCAGGTAAGTCATTCCTACTACCCCCTCAAGACATTTATTTGCAATGCCATTCTTAGGCTGATTCATATGCAACACTAATGCCAAAAAGCTTTCACCAGCTTGGAGGCAGCAGTGTCAGACACATGTACCTGCACCAACTTCCAAGAGCTGCTCTCCACACAGCTGCTTTCTCCCTGCCTTTACTCCCACATGTTCACTATCAAGAAGCTGACACACTTACCACACACTTCAGGAGGTCGTGACTGTAGGACAGTCATGCCTGCTATAAAAAGGATGCCACACAGCCAAGCACAATGACACTGGGGTTTTGCAGAGGCAAAACTCTGGAGTGATGCACAATATTGCCTAAATCTGATTTTCAGTCCCATTGGTGCTGATGGAAGTGGCTTTTTAAGTCCCAGCTAAGCAGACTGAACTGAATTCTCTTTGATCCCTCATACTGTCAAAACAATGTAAATAAAAGCAAAGGCTTCCACTCTCACAGTCATGGCTACAGCAGCATGAGAATTCCTCATCTACCTGACCAAATACAAAGCTCCTGCAACTTGCAGCAGTTCAGCCATGAGGATTTCAGCTTATCCCAGCCTGTGACAAAGGTGTCAGGAAACACAATCTGCAATAACCTTGGCTGTGCCCAACAGCAACAGCCCCACTTGGTGGGTACAGGCAGCATCTTTTTGCCATTTTTAAGGCTGCCCTGAGATCTTGTCCTTACCTAGATCTCCCAGATAAACCAGACATCGGTGACAGGCCATCTGTGCCCACTCCATCTCCTTCTCTGATGCAGACACAGGTTTCTTGCAGCCTACAAGCAAACACAGAATCACTCAGAGCACTGGGTGGAAAGACACCAAAGTCACCCATGCCTCTGCCCAAGACACCCAAAGCAAATCCCCCTTGGTCAGACCTCACTGCCAGCTGTGCCATCTTGTAGAGCAGCACTGGGTCACTTTGTCAAAATGTGGAAAATAAATGCAGAAAAATGCTTCCAGACTCTGCTGTTCATCCACCCCCCCGGATTCCCTTCCAACAGTCACTGAAATAAATGACTGTCACCTTGTCTGTAAGGTCTGCCACAAAGACCTGGCTTCATCTGCCCTCATGTGAGAGGACAAAGGCCAATTCCTGTCTATATGATCGTGTGATCACATTAACACAGCACTGAACACAAGTAATACTTGTTCAGAATTCATTAGCATGGCTAATGAGGCCTTCATGGGAGCAGGCACACACCCCTGGAAGCCAGAATAAACTGAGCACTGGCACTGGGCACCAACACACAATGGGGACAGACCCTCTCCAACAATGAAGACAGAAACAAACTCATTGTCTCAGGACCCAGATGTAGACTTAGTACTGACCAGCCAAAAAGGGAAGAAGTTAAACAAGGAAAAACTAGGACAGAAATCTGTGCTGTAGGCAGGGCAGCCAGAGTCAGTTAGGGAGAACTGCCTCTGGACAGCAATGCCTTTGCAGTGGGTTCAAAGGGCAACTGAGCTGGTGACAGGGCTGGAAGGCACAGCCTGGGGAGAGAGGCCACAGACTTCAGGCTTGTCCAAGTTGGAGAAAAGGAGGCTGGGGGATACCTCACTGCTCTCTGCAGCTTCCTGAGGAGGGGAATGTGATGGTCTCCTCAAGGCATCCAGTTACAGGACACATGGAAATGGTTCAAAGATGCACCAAAGGAGGTTTAGAATGGACACAAGGAAGCCTCTTGTGGGAAGGAGGGTGGCCACACCCTGGAATGGGTTTCCTAGAGAGCTGGTCAATGCCCCAGACACGTCAGTGTTTTAAGAGGCATTTGGACAATGACCTTGACAACATGCTTTAACTCCTGGTCAGCCCTGAATTGCTCAGGCAGTTGGACTGGACAATCACAGGTCCCCTCTCACTGAAATAATCTTGTCTATTCTATAGTAAACTTATAAAAAAAGCAATTCAGGCAGTGGAAAGTGTCAAGAGCAACAGAGGAAGGCTGCAGCCAGCTGATCTGAACTAACTGAAGTCATCAGACATGACTCAGTTCCTGGGCAGTGCACATCCAGGCCACAGCTCAGCCAGTAGAGTAGGATCCCAGCAAGTTAAACCTTTCTTTTGCTGAAGTCACACTAACTTCCCTTAGCCAGGTGCTGCTGCCCCATCACCTGCCAACTTTAAGCACATCAGTTAAACCTTTGCTAACACAGCTCACAAAACAAAGGCTCCATTTGTCACCTGGACACCCCCACAACAGAAACATGTACCCTGAGGCCACTGAGTACAACCCCAGGCAAACCAGAACAGACCATTGCAAGACAATCTAGGATGTGAGTGCACAGGCAGTGCTGAGCTGTTTCAGACTGTAAATACTTTTATTCTTCCTCCTCTAACAGGTACAACACCTCAGATTTTATTGCACCTAAGGCCATGCAGAGGTCACAGGACCAGCCAACATGAACCATGTGCTCTCAGTCCAAGATTCAGAAGCCACACAGTGAAGAGAGCACAGACAGAAGAGGCACCAAAAGAGGAAGTGTCTTTCATCTGGTGAATAGGATGTACTGACAGAAACCTGTTGATTTCAATAACCTATTCCCCTGTTTGACTGCTTTAAGTAAGCTTTTAAAAACATTCTATACAGCCAGCAGTGCTCTTCAGTTTTCCATAAAAATCTGCCATCACCAGACACTTTTACTAAAGAATTTTCTCACACTGTTTTCTTTCTATTATAAACTCTTTTTCCTTCTCTAATTTAGTATTATTAAAAACAAAAAAGTGCCATGGAAAAGAAAGCAGGACAGTCTGTTTCTTGAATGCTGAAACAAAGATGGACTAGTGCAAGGGGAAGTCACCTGTGGGGGATTCAGCCTTGCCCATGAACCAAACACCCTGAGCACAAACCTATGAGAGGGTCTGTCACGTGTGTCCAGTCGATGCAGCACTGCAACTCCAGCTGGTAATGGGACTGGATGTAGAGCAGGAGGTGCTGGTAGAATCCTATGCCAGCCACCAGGTGAGTCCTGTAGGCACACTCCAGGGTGCTGCGGCTGTGGATGTGCTGGAGAAGGAAAAGGAACATGTTAATGCAGCCCAGGGCACAGTTTAGGCTTAGCTCTACTGAGTGTAAAGCAAGATAGTAGTAGCTCAGCTGTAACTGGTTTTGCACAGCTCTGTACCTCCTCCTGCTCAACAATGTACCTCCTAGTAGTATTTACTAAGGGTCAACATCAAGGAGAAATACTTGTAAAAACAAATAAATAAAATCAAAGTATCTAGTTAGAGCACCTTAAATGCATCCAGATCTCTGGAAAGCCAGGAGAGCTCATGGCATCAGAGAGCACTGAGGATCTTCCAGTGATCAACTCTTATAAAAACAATCAGCACTGATAAAGCCTCTTAAAACAATCACTCTGCCTGGAGAGATCTGTCTTGTGAAGAATGGAACACAAAAAATAAGCAAATTCTGTTGGAATGCCCTCTGCAATGGCAGGTCTCTCAACAGCACGTTAGTGCTCAACTGCCCACTGCCAGGCAAAGGCACAGGGCAGCTCCACAGGAATTTGAGAGTGCCCAGCTCCCCACCCTGGGCTCAGACCACAGCTTCTCCAAGCAAATGAAGCTTTAAACTTTGCCTCATCCACTGCACAGCTAGAGACCTTCTCATGCCAGAGCCATAGATACCTGCCTTTTTATTTGTTTTAATGAGCTGGATAACTTCATAGTAAACCTTTCTCCAGAGCAGTTCTTCTGCTTTTCTTCCATAATCCACTGGATGCAGGAACATCAGCTTCACACACAGCTCCCGCAGCCTGGGACAGAGAGCAGAGCATTCTCAGTGAGCTCCTGCAGCCTCAAACACAGCTGCCACTACAGAAGCACAGAAGAGGAAAATCTGAATCCATTACAATCCCGAGCCAGGCCATCTGGTGATGGTATAGCCTGGATCACTCCCACACAAGCACCAGGAAAAGCCACATACTTAAAGCAGTGCCCTTTGGGCTCAGCTGGCCATCAGTGACTTCCTGAAGTGCAGTAATGACAAGAATTGGCTTGGCAGCTTAAAAAATTAGTAAGAATAATCCTCCTTGCTCAGCAACCCCAACCCCTGATAAAAGATTTTACACACTTGTAAGAAAGTTCTGCCCCACAGTTTTTATTACAAGGAAAGAATTGGCCAGCACAAAGACAATTTATTTGTATCCATGATATCCAGGAAAGCCATGGATTGCATTGCTCAAATACAGGTCTGAAATCCAGCTTCTGCATCCAAAACCTGGAAGGATCCCAGGTCAACAAGTGCACTACAAACCAAACATTAAAACTGCAGATTCAATAGCTCCACGTGTTGTTTCACACGGATTTTCCCCAGCCAAACACAAAACACAATAATGCTGCCCAACTTACTTGTTCCTCAAGCTGATGTTCTCTGGCTTGAACACATCCTGATAAGCTGCCTTATTGCCAAGGATGAGATCCAGCCGGTGCACGGCCTCAACCACTGCCCTGCATGAGAACACAGAACCAAGAGTTTATGGAGAGAATGTCACCCGGGATCACTGCAGGAAAAAGCAGAGTTACACACATTACAGGCATTTTTCTGCAGAACAGTGGTTTAGTCACCACTTACCGCTTCCTGCCTGATCAAATATGTCAATTATTTCTACAGCAGCAAAACCAGGAATGTCTCTGGACACGTTGGCAATCTCAGCAATTAAACCTGCTATACCTACATTCAGATTAATTTAAATGTCTTAAACTCTGTGATTAAAAAAAATTGATGGAATTCTAAAAACTACTGTTTTGATGGGGTAAGTTTTAATGGTGTAAGATTCAAACCTCCACCAACTCCTGTTTTCTTACCAATCTGCCAACAAAAGAAGGCAACACAAGTCTCTCATTTGCCAAAACTTCCCCATCTTTGTTACAGGGATTCACTGGTTGAACCCCTAAAGTTCCCTCAGTGACAGGTAAGAGATATTCAAACCCAGCCTAAAAAAGGAAATTTGTTCCAAGGTTTTCTCCCCTGAAAGCCAGCCAAAAGGCAGAGCAAGCAACCTCCAAACCTCTGAGCCATGCAAAAAAGTACTTTGGTGAATCATTGCCCAAGACCCTCCTCCTGCAGGAAGAATCCCACACTGTGTGTAAACCTCAAGCACTCAAAGGTTTGTAGCTGTGAACAAATCACACCACAATTCTGAACGCTGCAGTGAAACAAACTCAGGGACTTTCAGCTCCATTAGTGCTGAAGCTCATCAATAGCTCAGGGACAGCTCGATAAAGAACAATAACTGTCAACCCTTCCTGCACAAGAGGTCACCTCCAGCCTCTGCCTTTGCTCCACCTGTATCCAAGGTCACCAAACCCACTCCTGAAGTTAAGTTTCCCCAGCTCTTCCTTAAGCAATAAGCCATCAGCTACCAAACCCCAGTGGTCCTTTTTCTCCCCCTCAGCTTCATGTCTACCCCACTCATTGTCACTCCTCACTTGCTCCAATTCCTGTCCCACCAAGAGCTGCTGGAGCAAGGAGCTGAAGACAATCATGATGCACTGTGAACACAAAAGAAGGCAGGACCAGAGCAAACTCCTGCCAAGCAGAGCAGAGAGGGGCTGCAGCCAGTCTGCTCCCCCTCCCAAAATCCCCATCACTTGCAGGTTGGAACTCCCCCATGACACTCACAGCACCACGCAGTGACTGAGCCTGCTACTCCTGCCTTGATGGTGGACAAATGGAGCACAGGGCACCCCCAAACCAAAGCCTGCAAGTCCATGTTCTGGGAGGCTGAAACCACCACCCCTTCCTTGAAAACGAAGATGTTACTGCAAAGTAACCAACAGTTTCATATGCTCCCTTCCCAGCAAGGCAAATCTCTCTTCACAAACTCACTACACCCAAAGGAACCTCCCTTAAAAAAGCCCCAGGACATCTCAGAGTCACAGAGAAAATGTCCCATCTCCTGCTATGCCACAGAAAGCCCCTCACTCAAGGTAAAGAAATCCCATTTGTTTCCAGTAACAACAGAAACTGACAGGAAAAGGGAAGTGTGGGAATAGAAGCATCTCATGCAATGCCTTGGGAGAGCAGAATGCCACAGACTTGAACTAATTTCTTACTGAATAATCATGAAGAAAACCAAGGAGATAGTAAGAATCACACAAAAAATCCTGTTACATTCTTGACATCCAGCCCCTCCTGCTCACTGCCCTCTTTCTCATATGGCCTGAAGGGTGTTTGCAAACTGTGACAGCCTCATACCCTCATAGCAAGGAAAGAAGCAAGTAAAATACATTTTGGTTTACAGGTAACAGGCACTGAGTGTGCAGCATGCATGAAAGGTCATATTGGGGTTGGGACAATCCAAAAAGCCCCCCAGTTTAGCTTCCCCACAACAGAACCCCACAAAGCACAGGCAATGCACATCTCCTTACTGTAGCCTGCTGCCCTAGCTGTGCCTCTCAAAGTCCCTTCCAGCACACCAGGAGCTGACTGGCTTCCTCTGCAAAAGGTGGCCAGAGGAAAGAGGAACTGCTGGCTCATGTGATTCCAGAGAGAACTACAGGAAAACTACAATTGTTGATTCCTGACATAGGCAGTAAAGCAGCTGTAAAATAACATTCTGTGAGCAACAACTCAGCTGTGTGGATCTGAAACAAGTGCACATGTCCATGACAGCCAGTGTGGGAAATTATCCCAGCGGCCTGCCAAATGAGAAGTACAGAAAAGTTTCCTTCTGGGGACAGAAGGATATCACCTTCCCCTCAAGGTGGCCCAGAGGGCATCTGCCACACAACCCAATTTTCTACACCAGCCCATGGATGGGCACATGCACACACTTGGTATTTCTGCTGTTCTTTCAGTGTTTGTAAAGCAACAGAGTTCATGACCAGAGAGCAGCAAGGCTGACACACTGGGATGTGGTTCATCAGCCCTAAGGGAGCCCCAGCTGAAACACTGCCTTGTCCACATCCACACTGGCCCTGTGGTGCTGCTGGAAGAGAAGGAGACAGGAGAAAAGCAGAATCTGTGACAGCCAGCGATTCCCTGCCAGGATCCCACATCTGTGGTGCTGAGGAAAGAGGACTCAGTGAGGACAAAAGGGACAGGAGCCAGCCTCTCTCCAGAAATGCTGGGAAACACCAACACAGGTGCTATGGACCATGCACTGCTGGAAATGCACTTTAGCATCTGTGCCCTCACTGGCTCAAGACCACGGGTTGAACTTTCCCTGGCAGTTAAGAGCACAATTCCTGTCCCAGGACCCACTTTTCTACCTGCTGTGTTTAAACGTTGCTCTCAGACAGCATATCAGAGCCACAAAGGAGGCACATCAGATGCCAGTCTATTAAAAGAAACAAATACAGCACATGGTGCCAAGCAGGGTGGAAACAGGCCAATGCCATACAGACACTGATCTGTCCCTTTTCCTCCATGTGATTAACACTCTGGGATGGAGCAGGACAGCAGGGAGAATTATTTGTCCCCTCTGTTTCTTTATTTAGGACATCACTAAGAGCCACAGTTTCTGAGGAGTAAGACATTATTAAGAGAAAAAGACCTGCAAGTCATTTAGCTCTGCTGTGGCATGTGTCAGTCCACAAATCACACTGCCTGGAACAGGCTCCACACAGGAACAGCAGCACTGAGTCCACGAGCTAATGGTTACCCAGAAACCTGTAAAATAAACCTGGTCACCTTCCGCTACAACAAGCATTGTAAAAGCACACCCATGATAATGCAACTGCCACATTCCAAGGTGAAACTATCCAGGAAGACTTGGCAAAGATCAAAGAGTACCCCGTGAGCAGCAATGGGCACCCTCATTTCTGAAAGGACACTCCAAGGACCTTGGAGACCCGAGCTCAGCTCCCACAGGCTGACAACAGGCTGATCCCATGGGATGGCAGGTTAGAGCTGGGACTGTGGCATTCACGCATCTGTGACTCAAAGGCGCCACTTAGTGTGACAGTCATGAGCTCTCAGGCCACAGCCAGCACACAACGGGCTGCTCTGAGGGCAGGAAACTCCCACTTCAGGCTGAAACAGAGAACTGACAGGAGACTTTAAGGTGGGAACCTGCTCAGAAAACTGTCAGCTACAGAGATGGAAATTTGTGGCCACTGCAGGCACTATAAATCCTGTGCTAAAATCACAATGCTTCCTTCCTGCTAAAGAAGAGCTGTCACTGCAGGAGGAAGGTGGTTCTTTTTCTGCTGTAAAAACACCTTATTCTGCTACAAATATTCAAACAGAAAACAACCCCTCCCTTGCAAGGATGCCAATCCCTCGTGTGGCCACAGGCCGCTCTCCTGCCGGGCTGCAGCAGAACGTGAGCTTCCACCTGACAGATGAGCTGAGCAGCACCAGGAAAACAAAGCAGAACAGGTCTTGAACCACGACAAGGATGGTTTCAACAAAGCACGTTCTGTTTTGCAGGCAGAAGCACACACATCCTGCACATCCTCTCCATCCACACTCCCTGGGCAGGCGCTCTGCTGCTCCAGCTGACGTGGTGGAGATCACTGCAGGTGTCTCAGCGTGGCAGCAGCACACACAGAGCTGCCCAGCCCGAGGTGCTCGGGGCAGGATGGTGCAGCCCAAACCTCCAGTGATCCCCACTTCTGACCTCTCACCAATCAACCAACCCACTGACCCTCCAACGTGCTTGCACTGAGCATATTGTGGAAACAGATAAATAACCACCACCCAAACCTGCAGTTCCTGGTGGGGATTCCTGGGCACAGATCCTGCAAGCCAGGAGGCAAACCCCTGCCCTGCTGTAGGAGGGCAGTGAGGCCCCACGAGGTGCAAGGACATAGCCAATGTCATCCAGACAAAAAGAAATGGATCCCCATGTAAAATTCATCTCTTGTCGCCATCACTTTGCTCATCTTTGAGACCCAGAGCTGCTGCTGGAACTCCTGTGGAGCTGTTGTACTGACAGGGAACCTGAGCCAGAAGGGAATGATTTCTGGGCTGCCCCCACAAAACAAGTCAGGAGCAGAGCAGAGGGGCCTGAACTCACCAAGGGGAGTGCCCCAGTCCTGTTCTCTGATGCCATTTCCAATGCACGGTGTGCAAATGTGGGACCAGAGTCCCAGGGAGTGCTTAACTGGGAAGATCTGCAGCTGGAGCTGTCCTGCCCTCCACACAGCAGCAAAGTGCCCTGGCTCACACTCCTGCTCATCACACCCTCCTCTCCAGCACTTCTCACCTAATCCCTGCCTACTGCCAAAGCCAGGGACACCCTCTCCAACCCCCCTCTCCCTGGATGACCCCACACCTCACCCTTATCCCATTGCATCCCAACAACTCCTTTCCACTCAGCCCCCATCATGCTCCCTGAATCCCACAGAGCTCCTTTTTCCACCTCCCATGTCCTTACTCATCATCTTGGGTGTCCCCTTACCCCTGACCCCCTTCCTGCTCTCCCACCTCTCTCCTTCCCCCATCTCTCCATTCTCCCATCTTGCCTGGTTCTCCAACAGTCCCTTGGTCTGATTCATCTGCCCTGGAGCCACCAGACTCCTTTTCCCCAGTGGAACCCCCCACGTATTGCTTATCCCCTCTGGATCTCATACAATTCCCTTCACCACATTCCCTTCCCCTGGTCTTCCCTAACCCTCCTCCTTCTCCTCTCCCTTTGCACTGCATCCTTTCCCTGCATTTCCCCACAACTTCGCTTCAATCTTCCCTAAATTCCATCACCTCCTTTCCCCATCTTCTCTGAACATCCCTCCAACCCCCTCCGCCCGAGTCTCCCCTGGATTCAAGAGCCCCCCACCTCGTCCATCCTTGCTGTTACCTCAATTCCACCATCTCCTTCCCCAGTCCCCCCTGACAACTCCCCCATCTCCTTTCCTTCCATACTCCCTGCATCCCGCCAGCTCCTTCACCCTGGTCCTCCCCCGCCCCAATTCCTTTCCCTCCCGTCTCCCCCAGTCCCCGCCAGACCCTGCCCAGCCCCATTCTCCCTCTGCTCCCCTTGGGCACCCCGTTACCATCCCTCCCCATCCCTCTGAGTATCCCCCCGGCCCCCTCCGCGCTGCCCCTCCCCAGCCTCATCTGGAGCCGCCGCGGCCCCTTCCCCACACCGGCGTCCCCCCTCACGGCCACTCCATCCCCTCCGGCCGCTCTCCTCACCGGTACAGCCGCTTGGTGTGCAGCACCTTGGCCTCCGGCTCGCCGCTCTCGCCGGCGGCCCCGCCACCCTGGCTCATGGCGCCCGCGGCGGGCCCGGCCCGGCCCCGCGGCCCCTCAGCACCCCGGGCCCGCTCGGCCGCCATGGCTGCCCCCTGCCCCTCGCTGCTCTCGCGAGATTTCCCGCGGCTGCGCTGCGCCGCGCCGGGCGGGCAGGGCGGCGGCGGGGGACGCCTCGCGAGAGCGGAGCGGCGCGAGAGGCCCGCACTTAGTGCTGGCAACATGGCGGCGGCCGCCTCAGCCGGCCGGGCTGAGGGCAGGGCGGGCCCCGCGTCCTCCTGCCCGGGTCACGGGCTGGAGCAGAGCTCCCTCCGTGGCTCCCTCCGTGGGGAGCTCTCCCCGTGGGCCGGGAGCGGGGGAAACCGCGCAGGAATCCCTCCCTGCTCTGGGATCCCGCTGTGCCGGGGGTCCCCAGGGTCCTGTGGGGCCGCGGCTCCGCGGTGGTGTCTGCAAGCTGAGCCTTCGCACCTTTTGTAAACATAACTATGCCGCATGTGATAAAAGCTGCTCAATAAAATAAAAATACTCGGTGCTTCAAGCGTTGTGTTAGGTTTCGCTACATAAATATTCTTTAGGTGGGTGGGGATGGGCATTAGACGGGTTAGTGTAACTTCGTGTCACCTGGTGCGCTTGGTTTGTGGAAAACTCCACCTCGCGCTCTGGGAGAACAAACAAAGGCTGACTGCTCTGTCTCCCTTTTAAACTGTGCGTGTGTGTTTAGAGAGATCTTTAACTTGGCAGTTAAAGAACGGCCCGGACGGGGGTCCGGGGGTGCCGGGCCTGCCACGGGGCACAGCGCCGGGGCTCGCCCCGTCCCCTCGGCCGAGCCCCCCGGGCTGGGACGGGCCCGCCCCTCCGCCCGCCCCACCTGAGCCGGTTCGGCAGGTTTGAGGCGGAGAGGCGGCCGGGAGAGCGCTGGAACCCCGCAGAGCTGCGCCATGGCCCGCCGCCTGTGCCCGAGTGAGTGCTGCGGCCGCGGGGGGAGCGGGGCTGGGGCTGCGAGAGGGGCTGGGGTCCGCGATCGGAGCTGCGGGTGGCTCAGGAAGGTGCTCCAGCCCTAATTCCGTGTGTGGAGCTCGGAGGAAGCCCCGAGCGGCTCCGTGCCTCAGTTTCCCCACGCCTGTGGCCAGGCCGAGGCTCCTGAAGGTGCAGGGATGAATGTGCTGAGAGGAGTGAAGGAGCGATGTTCATTGCAGGAGACAGGCGGGACACCCGGGACAGGCTTCCCCTAAAGGGTAACAACACGGGAGCTCTGCCTGTGCCTCCTGCACCCATGGAAGGGCACCCAGCAGCCCCTTTTGCCCACCCCACATCAGTCTCAGCTGCCAGAGACAGCAAACCTGGCCCATGCCGGCTGGAGCCACGGTTCTGGGAAGCAGCTAGGTCACCTCTCCCCAGGGCTGGGCTGCTCCTGGCCCAGGAGAGAGCCACCGAGGAGCCAGTTGTATCATCCAGGCTAGGATGTTTGTTCAGCAGGGGAAGCAATTCCCAGGCTGCCCCATTTTGCAGCCAGACCTGCACCTCCAGGGTTCATCCCTCCCAGGACAGTACCTGACCCCACTGCCATGGGGACACCAGGCACTGCTTTCCCCTCCTAGTGCAAGGGCAGGTGGGTGGTGGGGGCTCCAGGGGTGTCAGTTTGCTCCCACTTTGTAACTGGGGCTGTGCATGTGACCCCAAACCTCTCATTTCTGATGTAAATTCATCTGTCTCCTTTCTCCTGGTGCAGGGTGAAAGCAGAAAGGACAGGAACTTTGTCCCCTCTGAACACCACAAGTGCAGGCAGCAGTGTTACCGGCCCCCAGCTGCATCCCTGGCAGTGTGGAACTGGACACTCATGGCTGCTGCAGACCCTGTGCTGCCCCCCGAGGAGGTGGCTCTGCTGGAGCTGGGGAAGGTGCCCCTGGACAAGGTGCCACCAGCCCCAGATGAACACCCAGGGGACCCTGATGCCACCTTGCCATGGGATCAGAGTCAGCACAATGCCCGGGGCCAGCTGGAGCTTGGGGAGACAAAGAGGCGCTCGAGTCCTGAGGGGGGCCACGAAGACCCCGAGGAAGCTGTTCCCACCTGCCCCACAGTCGAGGCCGAAGATGAGGAAGTGCCCCAGCTGCCCGTGATGGCAGCCCACGTCTTTGTGCCCATCGACCCGCAGTGCATCGAGCAGAGCCCCTTCAAGCAGAAGCAGCACCCGACCCCGTGGCCCCGGGAGGAGGGCAGGGGCGATGTTCCCCCCAGTGTCCCCCCCAGTGACAGACCCAGCAGCCTCCACCACAAGCAGGTCTTCCTCCCCCTCGGCCCCTCGCGCTACCGGAACCCACTGGGCTTTGAGGGGCGCGTGGCCAAGCCCCCGGCTGAGGGCTCACAGTGCCCGTGTGCCAGGGATTGTGGCACTGATAATCTCAAGGCCGTGGCATCGGTGGCAGGGGCCCTGCTGCTCTGCCCTTGCCTCATCTATGGAGCCTACATCTTCTTGCCCTTCGATGCCCCGCTGCTGCCCACCGTCAGCGCCCGCCTGGTCTACACGTTGCGCTGTGCCACCTTTGCCACCTTCCCCATCGTGCTGGGTGAGCCATGGGCGTGGGTATGAGTGCTTTGCTCCTGCTCCGGGCTGCGTGAGCCCTGGGGCTGCAGGAGCAGAGCCGGCGCTGAGCTCTTTGTGGTTCTGTTGTTCCCACCAGGAGCAGCAGATGGAGTTTTTCTCCCCTGCTGGTGCTCCCCAAGCCCCACCGTGGCTCCTCTGGGCACCCACTGAGCCCCTCTCTCTGTCCTTCAGGAATGATTGTCAGCGGCATCTCCCGCCTCTGCTCCTCTGCCCTGGAGCCCTTTGGAGAGCTCCACAGGGAGGTGGAGATCCACCGCACTTACGTCTCCCAGTCCATCCACCTCTTCATCCTCTACTTCTTCAACATGGCCGTGCTGGCCACCTACCTCCCACCAGAGCTCCTCAAGCTCATCCCACTGCTCACAGGGCTCTTCGCCATCTCCCGGTAAGTGGCGCCTTCACCCCAGGCTGCTGTTGGGCTCTGTCAGTGCCAGCTAACACCATCCCTTGGAGCAAACTCCCACTCTGGCAGCAGCTCACCAGAGCCAGGAAGGGCTTCTCTTCCTACAGCAGCCATGCCTGGGAAACCTGTACTCGGCACTGGTGAGGCCACACCTTGAGTACTGGTGATCTTAAAGGTCTCTTCCAACCTGGAGATTCTGTGATTCTGTGATCCTCACTGCTCAGAACCAGAGTGCCAGCCCCGTAGCATCACCTTGGCTGAGCCCGCACCCTCTGCCTTCTCCAGGTTGATTTTCTGGATGTCCTACGCCATCGGCCGCTCCTTCCGTGTCTTTGGCTTCAGCATGACCTTCCTGCCACTCCTGGCCATGCTGCTCTGGAACCTGTATGGCATGTTCGTCCTGGAGCCCGAGAACCTCCTCTCCGTGGCAGCGCCAACGCCCGAGGGCCACTCCAAGGAGAGCCGAGCTAAACTCCGGCACTGGGGCTGAGGGAGGCTAGCAGATGGGGTGCCTGAACCCTGCGAGTCTGAGCCCTCCTTCATGCCCTGCCTCAAGAGTCCTGACAGCACAGGGGTGCTGGCAGATCCAGCTGGGCCCCTGCTCCCTGCCTGCACACAGGGAGGTTTTGCTGGGCCCGCAGAACCAGGCTGCAAACGCTGTGCACCACGAGACTCCTGCTGGAAGGTGAACAAGGCCCAGAGAGCCCTTTTCCCTGGGAATGGGTGGGATTTGCTTCCTCTCCTGCTGAAGCCAGCTTTACCCAATAAAGCTCTTACCAAGCAGCTCTGTGGTTGGTTTGCAAAAAGTGAGTTAAATTCTGAATGACTCAGAGCTTCGCCTACAGGATGCAATCATCCAGCCTCAAAATTATATTTCCAAGAGGGAAAAACGTTTCCCACAGACTGTCCCTCTCCCAGTCCTGCATCCCACTCCTGGGTCCCTGCACAGCCAGTCTCTGTTTGTCCCTCCTCTTCCTCCTGGTGGAGGTTCAGCACCCTGTTCACAAAGCAGTTGGTTTTACAGGAGGGAGGAATCCCTTTCCAGGGAGGGCTGCAGGAGAAGCTGGGCTGGGTGACATGGCACCAGGTTTGCCTCTGGCCAGGGCTAGGGATGGCCAGTCCTCCCCAGGATGGGTGCTGAGCCCCTCCTTCTGCAGTCATGAATGGACCCCTGGGAGTCACATATTGGATCAGTCATACCCCAAAGCAGTTAAAAATCCACCCAATCCAGGAAAAGGCACTCCAGCTCCAGATCTGCCACATGTCTGGCTTGTCCCACCTCCCGTCCTGCAATGCTGGATCACAGGAACAGCCCACCCCAACCAGAGAATGGGAATCAAGGAGCTGAGGGACTGCAGTGAAGTTGTGTCAGGGGAGGTGTCTTGATTTGAAAGCCAGGAACCTCCCCTGCAATGGAAAATGTGACCTCCTTCCTTCCAAATTATTTTAGCTCTGAAATCAAAGGACTTTCAGGAAAAGGTATAGGAAAAGTGATATACGTACACTTCTTTACTAGTATGTGTATGTATAAATAGGCAAACAAACAACAATGTGAAAACCACATTCACTCTCCTGTGAAAATTTTAAAAGTTTAATAAAGAGCAATAGGAGACAATGACCATAGAGCAAAAGGTTGTTAGGCTACATCCTGGCACTGAACCAAGACCACACATCTTCAGGGATACCCCTTAAATACCTCTTCCCTTACATCAGCCTGTTGCATATTCATAGACCCTTATGCAGAGTAAACTTTTTCCCCAAAGCAGTTTACATGTTCCAAAAATTGTTTTGTTTATCTCCTCCTTGGATCCACCTTTTTAGAGCATGCATATTCCTTGGTTGTGGTTTTAATCCTTTTTTATCATCACTTTCAGTTTTGGTCCCTGGCCCACATTGCCTTCAGATGATGGGTGCTCATACTTGGGATATCTGTAGCAGGTGTCCTCATCCTATGTTCATTGGATGTTTTCCCATCCAAGCAGGCATTTTAACACAAGCATACTTATATCAGCTATTTCACTACTATGTCCAAGCTTAATTAACAACAAAAATAAAAAATAGATCTTTATAACAAAGTTATTTTAACACCACACAT